TAGTACCTAGATGATCTTTGCTTCTGGGTTGCAAGTGAGATGCCTATGGATCACTGAAGGAGACATGTCACAGTAAATGAGGGATAACAATCGCACCATTATGCCCGTCAAAGGCCAAAGGCTAAATGGACAAATATCATCAAGCAAAATGAATGACCAGTCCATAAACTGAGGCTACCATCACCTCAAAGAAGAAGTGACCAGTGGGGCAGAGAAGACTCAGGTCCATTGAGAAGCAGCAGTGTGTGTTGCTGTAGAGTTGCTCCCGGGAGGTAACCTCACAACCCCACACTGACAACTCTGGGAGCCATTTTCTCACTGCACACCAAAGGAAATGGTGCATTAACGTGTGGCCCAACAAAAAGGGGCAAGGGAGCGATTTGGAGTCTCATTACGCTAAATAAGAAGCAGCCTTTCAGCCTTGGCTTGATGAAGGGTGTTGGGGGCACTGCGAGCACAAAAGAGTAAACAACCTTGCTGGCCAGCCATGACCCTAAGCTTCTAGAAACAATCCCAATGTTGTTCTTAGGCCGCAGTCTTCCCCCAAAGCCCAGTCCTAACTGAACTCATCCTCCCTGTCAGAAAACCGTTTCAGCGTTCTTTCCATGGGCTTGGGCAGGAAACTGGGGTCTTTTTCTGTTCAATCCTATTCTATTCGATAGGGGCCATGCGGAAGGGGTGAAGAGGTGGTCACATGTCAATGGCCACAATCGTAGTAGATTACAGCAGAATGTTAATATCTCAGTGATGACTTTGGGAACTTCTAGAACATTCTCGCGGGCCAGCTCTCTAAACAGGATGAATATATGTTTATTCTGCTCAAGTACAATTTGGAAGGTTTTGTGTCAATCCCTCTATGTGAAAGAGGAAGGTAAACAAAGCACGTCCTACACACGCACCCCTTTTAAAATGAAATCTCCCCCCACCCTTTGGAATCACGGCTGCTAAATGAATGGATCCTAAAATGTGATCAAATCTTCATCTAAGTTATAATAATTAAAAAAATGTTTTAATGAACGTCACTGATGGAAAAAGGATATTTAATAAGTAGTGGAACCTCCTTAACTGGCAATAATACCAACCAAATATGTTTGGTAACACTTTACATTAACTGCACCTTAATAATGCTTTCATATTGCATTCATAAAACGTTCAGTACACATTCATAATGTATTAAGTATTCATAAAACATTCATAAACATCATGTATGTATACCATAACATCCTAACATCCCTTAAGAGCTGTAATATAAATTAATGACAATTATATAATAACAACAAACATTATAATTGTATTGTCATGTAATGTTTGTTAATAATATATATTAAAGCTGTTAAGGGATGTTAGGATGTTAAGGTGTACTTGCATGCTGCTTACGAATGTTCTATGAATGCATTATGAAGATGCACTGAATGTTCTATGAATGCATAATGAATGCATTATGAAGGTGCACTTAATGTAAAGCGTTACCATATGTTCTGTAGCTGTTGCTGAAACCTGCACAGAGGTTATGAGCTATTTTGGCCCATTCCTCTCTATAAAACTTTCATGTATCTTTAGGGTGTCTACCACGAAAAGGCTGCTTCTGATCTGATCATTTCAGTGGGTCTGAGGTCAGAAATCTGACTTGGCCATTGTAAAGTACAAAAATTCATTGTTCAAAGCCATTCTGTTGCTGATTTACTTCTGTGTTTTGGATCACTGTCATGCTACAACCCAACTTCTTTTGAATGTTAATTCACAGACAGATGCCCAGACATTATGCTGTAGAATTTTCTGGTGCAACTTGGAATTCACTGGTCCCTCAATCACTGCAAGCCATCCAGGCCCGAAGGGCAGAGTTACAGCCGCACACCATTTCACTCTCTTCACGGTCTTGTTTTCTCCATACATGTCTTCTCCAAACATAATGCAATGAACATTTACCAAAAAGTTCAACTTTGATATCATCTTAAAGAACAGTTATTAGTGCCATAGAATTTCAAGCTGATCTTCAGCAAACCTGAGACAGGTAGCAATGTTCTTATGAGAGCTGTGGATTCCTCTGCTGTTACCACCATGAATACCAGGGTAGACACACGTAAATAGAATAAAAGTGCCAGGAGATCCTTATCTGTCACCCTAGGGATCTTTGTCACTTGTTTGAGGATTTCATTGCAAGCTCTGGTCCTAATCTTTGCAGGAGATCCACTCCTAGGGAAACCAAAGTTTTTAGATATGTTTTTCAAAATCTCATAAGCTTCATTAGGTCCTCTAAAATCTCAAATGATAAGGTCATTGTAACAGAATTCTCTTATGAAGGACAGGTAATCAAAGTTTTTGTGTGTGTGTGTGTGTATGTCTGTGTGTTTGTCTGTGTGTTTTGTAAAAACAGGCAATTCAAACCCACTTCTGAACTGATTAGAACACCTGACTCCAATTACCCTCTTTTCAAGAGGTCATTATCCTAGAGATTGTACTTGTTCTATAAACCATGTTCTATAAGCCATTCATTCAATAAAGACAACGAAAGCAAAAGGCAAAATGTTGTGTTTGTTAAATAAATCTATTGTTATAGATTAAATGAAGATCGGATTCACATTTAGGCAACAATTCATGCAGAAATCCCAATAATCTCAAAGGGCGTGCAAACTTTTTTTCCACAACTGTACATCAAAGGACCCTCTGGCATCAAAGAAGCACTGAATTTGGACAAAATCCCCCATCTGCATACAGGGCACTATTATCAACGAAATGAAGTAACAGTAACAAATATGTAGTAAGTGTACCTTACAAAACAAATAAATCCAGCTCGTTGGCCAGCTGAGTAATATTTAAGAAATATCAACCATTATGCAATTCCTGAATGCATCATTTCCTCCAAAAGCAACACACATATACATTGACAGCTTGCTATTATTACAGTCTAACATTTATGCAATGTGCCGTGAGACCATATTACTCTATATTCTGCAACCAGAGGACTCTAGAAGGATACATTTTTTTCTTTTTGGGAGGGTGGAACACCGATAAACAGAGGTGGCACCCCCCCGCCCCCCACCTCTGTGTTTCTGTATAAACTCGAAAAGAAAATACTTTGTCCTAACAGCAGTCATAATTCACGGACAGTCTGGTCAGGCCTGAATCCGGCTGAGACCCTAGTGCCACTCAAAGTAAGGAATCTAGAGAAATTTTAAACAAACTGTTTCTGAATGCGAGACCAAGTATATGCCTAAAAATGGTCCAGACATCCACAAGAAACAGAACAATGGACAAGTGTCAAATATTGAGACTGGAAGACAATGAAAAAAGCCATCTGACTGTCCACTTTAAAGTCTTTTTGGGAACTTTCATTTTTGACTATGGTGGATCTTACTTTTGAGAGATATTGCTAGATCAGGAAAGAAGCACCACTGTCAAATGTTATGCTGGCATTTGTTTGTGCTTTCATTTGAAAACATCTCTTTGAAAAGCACTTGATCTTGCAAGTAGAGTTCAAGAGGCTGGAGATGCATGAAACCTGATAGTGGAGATTCATCTAAATGGGAACTATACAATGTGGCTCCACTTTCAGTCAGGTCAGCCCTGGTTATGCCAAATGAGTCAGCATCAGCGGCACTGAGTCCGCAGCTGCATTCAGAACGCCAACGGTGATTTCTCAGGCACATCTTTAACGCACCTGTCCCAGCTGTCTGGAGCAAAAGTTCACAAAGACAGAGCCAGAAAACCCTGGCCAAATCTAAAGGAGTCAATGCTCAACTGCATGAAGGTGGAAGCCTGGGGATTTGGCTGGACTGCTAGAAGATAGCAGAATCCCATGCAATCTAATCCTACAAAGGGCACATTTGTCTCCATACACAATCCTGTGGATCGGCCTGTTCACAGCATAGCTGTCAGGTGATTGGACGGTTTGGTCCATAAAAAGTATTTTTAAAAACTATCGTTTAATTATCCCTTGTTAGGGAAACAGACCTACCCAAAGAACAGTGTAGAATAACAGGAGGTTCACACATAGACACTGCTAAAATGAGATGGTGATGGAAGCACAGCAAAAAAAAAAAAAACTACAAATCCCAGAGTAAAATAAAACACAAACATTTGGCCAGAACACGGCTCCTTGCCTAAATGCCAGGACTGCAGTCCCGGTGGGAACACGGATGCAGACTCCACTGAGCAGGGAAGCTGCAGGCCAGTGGAACAGCCTCCCTGTCAGGTCCTTTCACTTCTCCATTCAGACAATGGAACTGCAAGTGTTTTTCATTTTGAGAACCAGAGAAAACCCAGCGAACATATGGGCCTCATTAAACACAGTAGTCCAATGGCATCATCATCACGTAACTGAGTTTCCTCCTTACGCTGCCCCCCACCCCGCTTGCTTCCTAAGTGGCACTTGTTCTGAGATGCAACAAGGGCGATCAGCCTTCAAAAAGCTGCCTAGCTCTTTGCCATGCCTGACCCCATCTCACTGCACTCCTCGCCAAGGAAGAATGGATGTGTTTCACCAAAGCGAGAGGTGTGACTTGGTTTAATGAGTCCAACTCAAACCAACAGGGTGTTAAATTTTGGGGAAAAAAGACCACTTCTGGAAAGACCCCTGAAATGGACCCCCTGCCACCACGATGTCCTTACAAAAATGATGCAAGTGAGATGCTACCCCCAAGTAAGCAGGTGACATGTGTCCAGCAGCAAATCTTTAATTTATTTCTGAGGTCTGACCACCAACCACTCTTTCATATACCTGCGCATTTTGCTGGTTTTACACATCCAGGGAACCTAGCATTCATGGTAATGTTACGACCCATGACCCACGATTTTGCAGTGTTGCTCTTGCCATCTATTTAACAAACTCAAGCTGCCTGGTTTTCTTTTGCTTCTTTTCCCCAAGCGTCCGTTTCCTGTCCAGCAATGATACACTGAACAGATTAGCTTCACAGGCATGTTCATAAACAACAAACTCATGCTACAGCATAATAAACATCATGTTGTTAAACCCAAGGCATTATGGGAAGCTGCCAACTCACCATTTGTGGCCCTCTGCGCTGAGGCCATCTCTCTGCAGAGCTGCTTCGGCCTCGTCCCGTCCTGTGGAGGAGAGAAAGAAAGGAAGAGAGGGAGAGAGAGTGCTAGAGTCAAATGAGTGCCAAACTGAAGCCTGCTGAAGCAAGTAAAATGTTCAGTCTCCGGTTTCGTCGATACTACAGCCACCTTCCCAACTCACAGGCCCCGACCATTTGTCATCTCCCTTAAGGAGGGACCTGAGTGGTAGATGACTTGCTCTTAGGCCAGTCTAAAGCTGGAAAGGAGCGCATGAGCATTTATGGCTTGACAAACAGGGAATGCTCAGAACAGCAAAGGGGCAACGCATGAAGCCTTTACCCTCAAGAGCTTGTGGGCACATTGTCTGAAAGCAAAAGCACTCCGACTGAAGGGGCACATCATTCCAAAGAAACAAGTCTTGAAAAGCAACCAGCTCTTCCTAAAAACAGCTGTTTTCTTGAGCCTCTCAGACTTAAAATCAGCCCGCTGTAGCTAATGAACAATCTGAATAAAACATTTAAGTATCTAAAAGACTATAAATAAAAAGGAAATGCTTATTTGTAAATAATTACTTCACTTCCCTTTGTTTGTATCTTCCCCTTTCAAACCATCACGAAAGGCTTGCCTTGTTTAATGACACAGCTCTTTTCATTAATGCCAGGGCTTTGAAAAGTCATTCATTTTTTTCTGGGTAAATTCAAATTAGGGAACTTGTCGGGGTGGCAACCAGAGCCCAGCTGAACTGGAAGTTCTGGCCCTGAAGGCTCCGGAACAGGGTTTCTGGTTTCCTCTGCATCCATAGCAACCACCAGCTCCAGCAGACTGTTGGTGATTAGTCAAAGTGGATGCAGACGGGGCTTTGGTCCGACACAATAGCTGGGCCTCACCCCGAATGGGCCCTAGGAAGGTACCTCTGCACCTCTTCTTGCAAACCTGGTAGTAAGCTACTGTTAGCTTTGCTATCAAAAGCACAAGTGTTGATCCAAAAGCATGGGCATTAACCACACCCAGCTCACGGCTAATCATGCAAATGAATGAACTGATACAGTCCTAATTATGGAAAAGGTCTTGAAGTTCCTGCAGTCACCTCAACCTGCATTGCAGGTCCAAAGCCAGCACCATATGTTCCCAACAGTGCGTCTGAATAAGAATCGCAACCCAAACCTTCATGAATGGCAAAGTAACAGAAATACAGGTGCATCATGGAATAGGTGAGAAGGCAGTTCCCAGGCATGTACAAGAATGATTCTGTTCCAGTTCACCTCTGTGCTTTTGGGCGGAAGGTTGCAAACATGGAAGAAGTCAAGAATTCTTTGGATCCATTGTGCGACAGCTCGTTATTTTAAACATAAACCGCTTAATCCCAGCTCAAACTATGACCACATCACACAGTGACCTACGAGCTTCCTGAGGAGAATCTAGAAAGATGCCGGCATGTAACAGTTCTGATCTATTACACTTCTAGTGGCCAGAGGAATTCCTGGTCTTTATCTGCCCTTATGCATCAAAACTTTCCCCTCTTGGCTCGTCATCCATTTCATTCTTCTTCCCCTATACAGAACCCTTTGATAGGGCCAAATAATTAATCGGTCCGGCACCCAGATTTGTGGAGTTAAGCTAATCTTTTCCCTGCAGGATGGCCTGTTTGTAATTCCCGAGTTACCTACTGGTGTTCTCAGTACATAAATCGAACACAGTCACGCACGTGTCCTCAGCCATTAGTCCGCGGAAGCACTGTTGTCTGGGAAACAGAAATCTCACAACCCAAGGTTGATGTGTGCACCCGTACTAGGTAAGACGGTCCAGGTGGCCCCTGTTGGGTCCGTGACTATTTTAAACTTAAGGATTAAAGATCTTACGCCTATGTTGACCCTACATGATAAACAGCCTTTTTGGCTGAAGTTGAAGGTGATTCCCAGGCTTTTTTCCCCATGTCTTTCAAGTTTGTTTCCGTATCCACATATTGCACTCAAGGAAAATAAAAACATGTGATCTGTCTTGTGCGAACAATCCTGAAAGGCTTTCTTGTTTACAAAGACAGCAGATGAACTGGAGCCCCACAGACCCAAGAAGCTTGAGATAGCAGGAAAGGAGGTATGATACCTTGTTCCATGTAGGCCTTCTTCTCCTCCACGTCGTCTGTGGTCTCGTACATGTCACTGTAAGCACGGGCCAGCCGCCACAAGAACTCTGCATCTTCTCCAAACTGAAGAGGAAAAATAATGACAACTGCTGCTAAATGAAAGGGCAGTGATGGACTCGTCTGAAGCGAACCCAGCCAACACATCTCCAAAGCTCTAGAGGGGAGCCAGATGCCTGGTCGATGCACATGGTGCTTTGCCGGTTTGAAGAAACCTATTATGTAACAACATGAGCTTCAGAAATATTCCTACCCGGAAAGTATCAGAATAACCCAGAGAACAATAGTCAAGCTTGAAGAAGGATCATGGGATTTCCTGTGTTTAGGTGTGTAAAATATCACTTCCTCTGAAGCCCTGCAGAGAACTTAAAAAAATGCTCTCCATAGCCTTAATCCACTTGTTTTCAGCATGTCCTGGTCACTTTGCTGCCATTGAAATTAACCTGCCCTGATGTGAGATGGGAAACCTTTGGCTATCTGCAGGGTTACTGTCAGTTCTAAAACCTTGCACCCCTTGAATTCGATTATTACATTATGAAGGGTCTGTTTTCTCCCTGATCTGAGGACAAAAATAACACCAAATTCCAAAAAAACAGCATGACAATAGACATTGTTATAGTTGAAACAGCCAGTATCTTCACTCTGCCAATGGACCACAGTGTCCAAAAAAGCACAGCCTTAAGTAAGGAGACAGAATGAGCAAACTTTGACAGAAAATAAACTTATACTCAATCAAAAAGACACGCAACAACTTGAGATGAAACGAGGAGAGAACGCTTCCTCTGCACAAACACTACACGTGCTGCAGCCAAGAGAAAAGCAGGAAAGCTCTCAAACAGGTAGACGAGTAACTGAATTAAAGGATCCCACCCTTGGCATCATGATAAGAGGGGAGCTACATATCGTAGGCTTCTTCGTGCAACCTCAGCTAGGGCATACCGGTGTCTGAGATGGAGGACACCCCCACTATCAAGTGGGGAAAAAAAAAACAGACCAGTCATGTAATATGTGTTTACTTAACACACTATGGAAGCTCACATTTACAAAAGCATTAAAAACAAATGATTAATATTACTGTTAATAGAGAAGTTTTCTCTGACTTGTTCTAACGATTACAGTACAAATTTGTCAGTAATTTCTCTGTAAAGCTGGAAAAAATTCTCTACTGTACTAGCATATGGTATTGTAATAAATGCTTCTTTGTTGAGACTGCCTGCGGTAATAGACTGTCCTTCTACATTCTCCCAGGAATATCCAAAGGCCATGTCTTCACCTGACCTGGGGTTGGCTTGACCGCAGCAGCTGGTAGCCCTCGGCCTTCTCCTGAGCACTTCCAGCATGCAGGGCATCGCTCTGGGAGAGAAGCTGTGCCAGCTCCCCACCAGGCAACTCAGGGTCCGGCGGCGGCGTGAGCCCCATCTCCTCTTCTTCCGCGCAGGAGTCCTTTCTCAACGTTCTCACTGTCGCACAGCTCTGCTCTTCCTCGTCCTCACTCTCCCTTTCCATCTCTTTGTCTGTCTCCCGATCTGTGTCTGCATTGTAATCAGATTCCGGGTTGGCAGTGGTGTACCTGCAAGTGGGATGGCAGATGACTGGTCATTGGCTAGTGCTAAACATGGTACCTATAAGACACATCACGCATGCAGTTACCACAAAGCTTGAAACCCACTTTTGAAGATAAAAGCCATTACTTTCCCTTTGCCTCTCTTTTCTGTCTGTAAAAGTTCATAGTTTTATATTTATAATTGCCTTAGCTTTCCATCTATAAATTTTGGAATGGCTTGCTTATACAAGAAACTCTGGATCAAAGTGTCTGGGAAGCAAATAAATAAAGAAATGAGGTTGCACATAACACAGAGCTTTTTGCGGTTTTCTTCTGGCTCTCCTTATGAGTCTGCACTTCACAGAAATAACTTGCACATTGCTCCCTGGAGAGACATTACACAGCAAGATCTGACTCAAGCCCTTCCAGGGACAATCATCCTATTTCCCATTATTGTTTGGTGCCCCACTGCATTTTCCAAAATGAGGCAGGAAGGAGGGAAGTTTTTAATGATTCAAACTAACACCCACTACACCTATGGATAGTGGCATTTCTTGATGAAGAGGGTGAGGAAGACCTTCGAAGCACTCATTTATTTCCTCTTTCCATCTCATGGGAAATGGCCTCATCTTGGACAAGATCACATTGGAAGTAACACCGGCTAATGGCTACATGTGTCAGAGGACCCGGAACAGGAAGTCACAAAGGTTCCAACAGGAAGTTACCATAACTCAAGGAAAGCATTCTAAAACCGTGTTCTCTTAGCACATATGTGCACTGATTCTAGCCCTTGCTCCCACTGGCATCCTGCTTTCCTTCCCGTAGAAGATGTCTTCTGCCCTTTAGAGATAAAACTAAAATAAAACCACATGAAGTGAACCTCCCTCCCCTTAAATAGCCAAATCTAACCTCTAACCTCATTTGTTTTTTATGGCTCCTTTTCCTAAAACATCACACTGTTGGCCTAGTGTCACTAAAAACTATTTTTGGAAATTATTTTGAGTATGGAGATAAAACCATGGGTCCATGAGGTTAAGCTTTTCATTTTGCACCTGAATTGCTTATTTCTGATTAAATTCATATAACTTGCACAAAGACAGCAGTGACAGAAATGCAGATGCAGCAGTCCTATGCAATGAACCACCACCCCTGCTGTTCGACTATAGAAAACAAAGCCTTAGCTTCGGACTTGAGAAATCTGCATGAGGCATCATACGGGGCCTGGTACATACCCGCCTTCACTTTCACCATCGTACATGCTGACCGCACTAGCGGTAAAGTAGATGGAGCTGGAGCTCATGGACTCAGTACGCTCCCGTGGAAGGAGGTGCCTACGGCGGCGAGCAGCCTTCTGGCTCTCCTCCAGGCTGGCCCTGGGGGGAAAACAGCGGAGCAGAACTGTGGGTAAATGCACTGGTGTTTAGCTATGAGGAGCAGCAGAGAAACTCTATGCCACATCAAAGATACAAACAGCTGTTTCTTTTACGCAATCGGAATTTTGGCAGAAATGGTAAGTCTGTCAAATAGCAGGGACTGGCTTCTCTCAACATACCAATGGTATTTGACAGATAAGAATGTTCTCATATTAAATAATTAAGACGCTACACCCTTGACTTGCCCCTAGAGCAAGCTCTTCAAATCTGGACCTCAATTCCAAATCCAGGCCTTGTTTTCAGTTCTTCCAGGTAGTTAGCTTAATAATTACTGATTCTGATTGGCTGGAGGCTTCACATCTGACTCGCAGGTAAAGGAAGGCTGGTAAATCAGCAGTGCATGTATCTTGAGAACCGAGATTTGAATAGCTTTGCCCTAGAGCAAAGCTACCCACATCTAAGTTGGGAGAACATACTCACTTGACATCCTGGACAATTTGCACTGCGATGCCCTGGAGGCTACCCCTCAGTTCGGCCACCTCTCCCTGCAGGTCAGCCACACAGTGGAGCACCTCATCCAGCCAATGTCTCAGCTCCCCCTGCTGATTGGGCAGCACCAGCGCTGCTCCCCCAGCAGCACTGTCACAGGCTGACACACGCAGGTACCAGGATACCACATGAGAGAGACCATGGCTGACAATTAATTAAGCAAACCATTTGTAAAATACAGAATAAGCTGTCTAGTGATTCAGCAAAGGTTTATTTAAACGTAGACATAGCGAAGGCCTTTATAATGAACATGAGACAGAGGTGCAAGACCGTTGTTCATGTTCACCAGCAGGGGGCGGCTTCCCACCCATCCCAGAAACGTACATGTGCCGCTACGTCTAGATTTGACTTAAGAGCAGATTCGAATAAAACTATACAAAATTTGAAGAGTAAAATCACCGTCTTTGGATTTCAAAGCTGTAACGAAAAAATTCTCCTCAACAAAATAAAACCATTAAGTTGAATATTCTGGCGATGCCCTTTACGTGTGTTTATCCAGTCCTTCCCTTACCTGACCCCTCACGCGCTCCCGCGCTCACAATGGCGACGCCGCCCGGCACGCGCGGAGCCGACCGCTCCCTCTGAGGTATTTTCCCCCTTTCTTCTCTTCTCCTTTTCCTTTCTTTGAAAACCATAAATATGACCAGTACCGTCCCCGCGGCGGCTCCCACACCTACACTAATCCAGGTACCCCTTCCGAGCTTGTCCATGGTAAATTACGTAATTCGAGTGACAAACCTGGAAGTATATTTTCGTAGCTATGTAGTAATGTAGCTTTGGTGCTCTAAAATGTACATGAGTTATTGTCTATTATCTGTCTAGTTGCGAGAGTTTATTTTGAAATGTGTGCGTATACCTACTGTAAGTTAAAGTTTTTATGTTACTCCTTCATAATATCTAGCGTCCGTATATCTGTATCGGGACGTTGTCCACACCTGTCTCGAATTATGATAATATTAAATATTTAAATGTTCCTGTCTATATATTACATTAGCGTCATATTAAGAACAACGACATGCGCAAGTTCAGCTTGATTTCGTTTTCGCTAGGTGAAGGGGGAAATCACCACGGTGACACCGCCGCTGAGGAGCCGTGGTTACAGCATAATGATTCCGACAGGAAACACCTACACAGTCTAGAACGCGCCCCATCGTACACGGAGGTTTTATTATTTAACATCCCGCATTTAAAGTACGCATTTATTCATTTGGTAAGTTTTCCAATAAATTAGGCACAATAGTACGTGTAACAATGATTGATTGTATTTATTATGGATATTTTTCATTTTCTGCCATTTGGAAACCATTTTATTTTTCCCATAGTACCCTCCAAGACAGACCTTCAAATTAAAGATTGTATCATTGCCTGAGAAACGGAAATTAAAGTTCCAGTACGTCAGAAATTGAACTGTGCATCTACGTAGCTCAAAACACCGTTTCTGTGATTTTAATACTGATATTAAAACCTAAACAAACAACGAAATCATCAGTGTAAAAATATCAAAAAAAACCTGAATGCACATGCGTAAATCAAAGCCTTCAATTAAAGTAATCATATATATCACTTAAGTCCTGCAGTTAATGAAAGATAATGTTAATTTTACAATTTATAACATAAACTAATTGTTTCAAAGCAGCAATGAAAAGTATTGCCTAGGGAAAATTGTCAAGGTTTTCTTTATAAACATTGATATGTAAAAACTTTATATCTATAAACATATTTAGATGAATATCGCCAAAGTTATTATAGTGTATGGGTGAATGTGCGCGCGTGCGCACCCACACACACGCTCTCTCTCTCTCTCTCTCTCTCTCTCACACACACACACACACACACAGAACTGTTATTATATCTTTGTTGGGACTTTTCATTCATTTTTATAGGGAAAACTCTAATCCCAACATGGCGACCTTCATCCCTACCCTTGCCCTATCCTTAACCATAAGTAACCAAACAAAATACGGGATTTTTGGCACTTTTCACATTCACAGATCTTAGTGGGGACCTGAAAAATGAAAAACAGGTTTTTATTACATTATGTGGGACATTTGGTCCCCACAATGTAATATAAACCTGATCCACACACACACACGCATACACACTATATCCATGTTCCATGTTTCGACTTAAACACAGTAGGTACCCATACTTTATCCAAGCCACAGAATTATATGGGAAATCCAAGGCGAAATCAGGAAAACCATGAAGGATGGCAATCTCAAAACGAATCAGTTAGGGGAGTCTGGATCGGATTGCATCGTTTTGAATTTTCCTCCGATATTTTTGTAATGAAATGCAAACATTTATTACATTATTATGGCCAACTGGTACAGTTGCATAACTGTTACAAATTTCGTTGGACTGGAAATGTACAATAACAATAAAACATTCTATTCTATTCTGTTATTTTCTCTTTCATGCACTTTGAAAACAATAATTATGGACATATATAAGGCGACATTGATTATTCGTGTTTAAACGGGTTACTTGAGTGGGTTATTTTTATTTGGCAAACTGGAGAATTCAGCTTCCCAAGAAAACCATGCTTCTTCACAAGCAGTGTTAATCACAAAGTACTCCGGCATTTGATTGGTTAGCTGCGATGGGCGTTTCCGCATTCCGTGTTAAACTCATCGTGAGCTCAGGAGGCAGGAAAGCGGATTGTTCCTGAAGTAGCTTCCACGGACCCGAGCCAAAGACCGTCCCAGGGGACCGCATTTCGCACGCCTACAAGTCCGGGATGCCTTATATTCTCATCAGCACTCAGATCCGTCTGGTTCGTATCTCGTCTTCTTGTAAGGACTGTGATACCAGGCTGGCGCACTCGCCCTTAATAGTCGAGATGGTTAAAGTATTTTGTGCAGCATTCATGCACATAAATTATTAGTTGTTTTTTATAATGTATGCGAGTTCCTTGTTTGCATTGATCGCTGACAAGATTCCGATTTTATATAATAATTGGTTATAAGTATTCTGGTATTGTCCGTCAATGGTCTACTGGAGAATGCTTCGAATAGCAAATAAACATGATGTCGACAAATGGTAATTAACTGGCTTTTCAGCAGCCACAAGTATTACTTGGCAAATGGATCTTTCATTATTTAAACAATGCGATGCGTGTTTTGCATAGTTGTTCAGTTCTTCGTGACAAAAACACAATGCGCACTGGAATTACGAAGCCACTGGCGGCTCAGAAATTTATAACGTCACTCCTCCTAATCCAATTTTAACACGTGGTTAAAAAAATCAACTGGGCAAACGAATAGACTCCAAATAATTGCGGTAAATAATAAACTAAATTATTTGCAAAAATAATAATCTGAAAAGGTTATTTCAGAGTTTACACTAAGAAATCAATGACCGCAACCCCTCCCCCCCAAAAAAAAAAAACATTAATAAGATAATATAAAAACAGGCAACGCAGTAAATGTAGGACGTACTTGTTTAAACGAATGAACTTAAAGACTTTAAGCTGTAATTATGCAGTTGGCCCGTATAATGATCGTCCCATGAAGTCAGTTCATTTTGAAAAACCCAAGGAGATGGAGACCAGTATGGTTCACAGTATGGCTCATTTTTATGCATTCCAGTGATTGTATTTTGATCACCACAAGAAAAGGATACAACAATAAGCAACAGGTGTTGCAACCTGGGAAGTGATGGAATACTGACTGATAAAGGCTTTGTATTACAAAATATTTATCAGTACAGTCAGTCTTACAATGGTGCCAAATATTATCTCTGCAGGCTGACTATTATGTATACTCAGGATACTATACATTGAAAATCTGTATCCATACGTCAGCACCAGGGCCAAGATGTGATACCCCTGGAACAGAGCCGAAAACCTGATGTCTCAAAGATGAAAACTAGATGTAATACAACTGTGTGCTTCAGCAAAGATCAACGTCTGTTTCAGCCTGTATCTTAGAGCCATGGAGTACCTGCCTGTACCTGCCTGCCCTTTAATCCTAATAATGTGTTATGTTGCAGCCACCTAATGGGATTAGGATCACCAAATTTCTCTGAAAAAATTGTGCCTTTTGACTTATATATATATATATACTTATATATATATATATATATATATATATATATAGGCTTATATATCTTACTGGACTTATTTGTTCAATGTCTGTTAATTTGAGAATTTGAGGCTGCAGTCTTACTCTGTTTTCCTGCTGTTGGTTTCAGGAGACTGGACCCACAATGGTGGGAGATGAACATTCAGATCCAGTCATAATGAACTACCTGGGAGCCAGGAAGACGACGATGCTGGGTAACAACTTGTAGGTATTGATTGTCAGAAGAAAGTCAGTGGTTGTATGAAGATGATTTGAAAAAGGGTGAAGTGTAAGGGGGGGGGGGAGATCCATCACACAAGTGGCTAATGTATAGATTAAGAAAAATAATATCTAGACCAGAAGGGGAGCTGAAAGCTGTTAGGACATATTGCACATTCTTGTACATTTTAATAGGGCACTTAATGATGATGTCATGGACTCACCTTGCTGTTTTTGTGAAAGCAAAAGGAGGCCTTTGAAACAGTTATATCATAGACACATCATATCAGAGTCGCGCTGTCATGGGGGAACCCAAACTGCAGTCTTTCTGAAAAGGTTCCACCGTTTGTTTGACCACTGATATTTGCCGAAGGGAGGTCAGGGACATTGAGGCATTTGCTGGTACTGACAAAAACCTGCCCCAGTTCAACCAGAAACATTACGTCACATAACTCCAGAGTTAAACACTTTGTTAAATCTGATCGCCACAGCTATTAGCATTTTGTTGGGGCGCTGCAGCGTTAGCTGGGTAGCATGCGGGGCTCTTTCTTCAGCGTCGTCTTTAGCGGGTTCGCCCCCCCCCCTCCCCATATTTCAGAGGGACAGTTAGGGGGAGATGGGGAATTCATGTCAGTCGACAAAGAAAGGAAAAATGGAATTATGTGTAATACCGAAAAAGAGGCCACTTTTGAGCCTGGAAGCCAAACGAAACCGAACTAATGGTGCATTGTGGGAATGTCACGCTGTGTAGCCCAATGAACAAGAGCTTACGAGACTACTCACGGGGAGGGGGTGAATTTATAAGGGCCCCTCCGACTAATATACGTTCCTCCACATCTGCCTGTCTTGCAGCTCAGAATACCACGTGGACGAACCGCCTCGGGTTGTCCTGGACAAGCTAGAGAACATTGGGTTCCGTCTGGTGACCATGACTGGCGTGGGCCAGACGCTGGTGTGGTGTCTGCACAGAGACACAGTCAGCCGGGTCGGAACAACGCCTGCACGCGAGTGGGTCGACGCAGACCCCACCCGTAGGGTCCCAGACGGGCCACGGGCCTCTCCTTGTGAATAGAGTGATGTGGGTGGTCAAGGTTTTCTTTATTTTTTGGAAATCATAATCTTCATCTGTCATGTAAAATGTCGAATCTAAACCATTCTGGGCAGTATTCTCTATTCATGTATTGTTATTAATTGTTTTTTTTTTTAAATAATGGTGCCAGCCTTGTTTTTATTCAATACTAAGCTTAATGCGATTAAGTCTAGCCAGAGAAGTGTTTACATGCACCAAAAATGTGTTTTCTGTTTGTGTGTCTGATCACAGCCTGTCATGTGCCACTGACAGCAGGAATGACATATAATCCTATTTGTGAGTGTAAAGTATTTCTTTTGTTAGGGGGTGATGAAGAAATATGTCCTCAACCTGCCCGGACCGTGTGGTTTTGGACTTCCTTGAAAGGCTAGGGGTAAATTCAGACTCTTCTATCCATTCTAGGAAGGACTAAACCCCCCTTGCTGAGCTCCCACCCCCAGTGTGCAATGCAGTCGTGCTGGGGGGGTGTGAGACACAAAGAGTCTCTGGGTCATATTTACAGAGTGTCCTGAAAGGCGGCTAAATATACACAGAATGGATGCGTCTCTGGGGGGCTGTGAGGAGGAGCTGAAGGGGGCGGGGGGGGACAAGGCGGCTGAGCTCCTCGTTCCCAGCATGCAGCAGCAACAGTCCGCCATCGCCGCTCCTTCTGTCGATACTGTGCTCCTTTGTGTGCAGATGAGAGATCTGCGTAAACATGCCAAATGTGTGTAACAAGGGGCGGCATACAGAAAATAAAGATGGCAAAAGGTCTCCCTGTCTGTGTTCCCCTCGTTTAGCTCCAGACATAGTTTACTGTGGCTGTCATGGGACAGGAGATGCAGAAGGACCTACTAATAAGCTCTCAACCAAAGAAGCTATTCTAGTATTCCTCTGATCAGTATCTGTCTTGGTGAACTTGCTCCCAGCCACCCCACCAAACTGGGGCCTGATACGGTACAAGAAAACAGAACTTTAAAGACAAGGCACTGGACTGATTATAGAACATCTGGCGGCAGGCATGGAGCACCATGTGCCCTCCTGTAGGCCAGTGAAGGGGAAGCCCAGCAGTGGGGCCTCCGAGGGGGAACCAGCTGCTTCAGACAGGTTCCTCACAGGTTCAGGTGTAAATGCTGCTGTCGGGGGGCGGGGGGGGGGCTAACTGAGCGAACAGAGACCAGGTCGCCTGAGCCAGACCCCGCCTGGTAATCGCCTCCATCCCGGCAACCGGCCTGAAGGACACCTCAAAGGGCAGGTGCTAGATTTGTTAGGTGAGAGGAGGAGAAGGTTGGCAGAGATGGGCTATTCAGCGAGTAGGTTACCAGCGTCCCTGCCAGGTCTGTAGGGGGGGGGGGCGCGACCTGGGGGCCCCTTTGCTGCTGGAGTCTCGTTTCAGGGCAGCTCTTCCGCTCCATCTTGCTGGCACGCACTACAGGCCGCTGGCGTGGGCCGCAATCAGGATGTGTCTCTGGAAGGGGGGGGGGGGGTGTAATTGTATTTCCTCTGTTGTAATTTGGAAAGGGCTCCGTGTGTTTAGCTTTTTCAAGGATATGAAAGTCGGCCCATCAACACATAAACAGAACCAGCTGATGGGAGCATTAGATGGGCTGGGAGCAGCAGATGGATCCACACGGCACGGGGCGGGGGGGGGGGGGGGGGCGTTGTGTAACGGAGCCCTGGCCATCACACAAGGGCCCGGCGTTGGAATGTTCTAGTCCAAACCAGAAGAAAACTAATAATCTCAATCACACACTGACAGAGGAGGACTAATCGACTCATTTAGTCCAAATAACCTCTTCAGCTTCTTTTCAGGACTGACCTCAGGGGAAAATGTGGGGAATGACTGTCATTAACACGACAGCTGTGCTCAGAAGCAACAGCGAATCCGGACAAGGTGCTGAGCTGACAGCGGCTGACGGGGAGGACGCACTTCCTGAGGAGTGTCGTTGCCTTGATGCATCTTTTATGCAAGTGAGGAATAAGGTCATGCATCATGCACTAAGGGCCAGTGTGTAAATCCATCCATCCATCCACCTTCTGTAACCACTTATCCTATTCAGGATCAGACCCTATGTGTATGTTGTACATGTAACCTGTAGTGTAAGCAACCATGAATGTGAATGCATTTTTCTACATTTAAAAGCAATTATGAGTAAAATAATTAGTTCATATTAGCACCTTTAATGAACCTTTCCTCTTCTATCCACACTTTAGGGTACCTTAGGACTTGTCCTGGGTCTTGTCAGTGCCCCTACACCCACAGAAACCCCCAGCACCACCCCCGGTGTTTCTACCCCCCACCATGGCACACAGCCCCTCCTAGGACACGACGGGCTCACGCTCGCTCACCACTTCTCCACATCATGGCTCAGACACTGACAGCCGTAATGCCATTTTACTTTCTCCTTCAACAGAAAAGTCATTTCTGAAAATACAGCAAAAGATACAAAATCACAGAGTCTCAAGTACCCAGGTCAGTTTGCTCATTCTCCTGAAGTGGACGTACGTCTTCTGAGCATCTGAGTCTTCCGTGTAAATCAGGGGTGGGGAACCTGTTCCATGGAGGGCCGGTGTGGGTGCGGGTTTTTGGGATGACCTCTCAATCAGCCAATAACAGTGGGTCCCCAGGACTGGAGTTGAGAACCACTGCTTTATTATTGGCTGATTGAGAAGCCATCCCAAAAACCCGCACCGGCCCTCCATGGATCAGGTTCCCCACCCCTGGTGTAAAGACCGTTTTTGGTTCACGGACTGCATGTGATATTGTGAATGTCAATTCCATCTAATTACAAATTGACTTAATTTTCACAGGAAGTCATTATTGGAAATGGATTTGATGCTTTCTACTTCTAAATCTGTATCCGATGGAATTTAGTGGCTAGATGCCATCACTGATATAAGCTCTTATTTTGAATTATTGTTGGGAAATAGCTATTTCTGCTAAAGTTTATTTAACTTTTCTACTGTCTTTGGGGTTTACCCCAACTTTCTGTGTTATTTCAGATACTGTATTCTAGCCTAATTTCAGATGGGGGCTACATGTTACATCATATTTATGGTAACAGACGTTTTTTCAAAATATTGATAGAAAAACCTTCAATAAATGTGCAATGTAGTTACAACACAAATATTTGCGTAATTTCTAAAATGTAAAAAGTCATGTTATCCTGATACCTTTCAACCCATGGCCACCAGAGTCACTGTTATGCTGTCATCACTTTCCAATCAATGCAAGGTATCCTTGGGTCCCAATTACAAAGGAAACATGCGTCCTGTTCCATAAACCAAGTCGTCCTGGGCCATCCTCCAGGCAGTTCCACATCAGTCGCTCATGTGTTACCTGACCTGTGACCCATTTCCCAGCGATGTGACCTTCCTGATGCCGGCCTGGTACCCAGAGCGAGCCCTTACATGAGTACAGCAAGATGGCAACTCTCAAGAAATAATAATCAAGACAATTTAAAGGGATCTTTCATGTCAAACGCATGCGAACTACATCTTTCCTGTCACAGTGAAATCCATTGATTAAAATGAATAAATCACCCGCCCAGCTCTGGAACAAGTTAAGGACCAGTTGTGAGGCAGTACCATAGCCACCCATTACACAGCTCATCCAAGGTAAGTTTATGAGGGCAGCTAATATCTGCTACCCTATGGTCATTGCTTGGGGGAGAACGCACCCACTGGTGCTCCCCAATCCGCCCTCCGGACCTGGCAGCATGGAACTCGTTCCACAGATCCATGCGGCGAGAGGGGCTCTGGAATCTGACGGGAAGTCAAACCCATCTGGCCTTGGCTGTGAGTGCAGAAAGGAGCCATCGCCCATTCAGAGACGAGCCAAGCTCCGCTGACAGATGGTAATTAAAAGGCAGTAGCATGGAGATTTTGCGTATCACTGCATATTGCTTTTCCCACAGAGGTCTCTGGCACCAGAGGACATGGCTGTAATCTTATGATAGACTTTACTCAAATCGGCGAAACACATCACGGTCACTTTTGACGAAATTTACCGTCCACGCCGTTGTCAGCTCGCCTGTTGTGTTCGGGATCTTTCATTGCATCAAAGATCAGAGACTCACGGTCAGAAACCAGTTTATTTACCCAAAAGTGTTTAAATCATTTCTTTAAAAAAAGTTGCAGAAGGTTGGCTTTACGAAACTAAAGTCAGCCAGAGAGAGTCCGTCAGGGATGCTGGTGGTGGTGAGGATGCAAAGCTTAGTCCACCTCCTCCTCATCCTCCCTCTGCATCTGCTCGATCAGCCGCTGCCTCTCCGCCGCCTGCCTCAGCCTCATCAGCACCAGGCTCTCGTAGTCACGCTCACTGCTCAGGGAGCCCTGCAGGGGGCAGCAGAGAGCGAGACAGTTGGTAGGCTTCGAAATCACATGGCAGACAGGATATCTGTGGTGTGGGGCCTTTCACCAATATTTAAGTACTACAGAAAAGTGAACCTAGAACAAGAGGAAAGTGGAAGATAAGAACAAATTGATGACATAGTGGGACACATTGCTCAACTCCCAGTGAGTGTCATATCTCCGCTATTACTGGATCATGCTTCCTGACATGCCAGTAGGTGAACTGAGGTTTGGTAGGGGGAGGGGGGCATGAGTTTATCAGGAATCCCCTCTCCATCCACCCACCCAGCTTGGATGAGGCTGGTCATTATTTTCTCAGTGCCAGATTCATAATTGGCCTCTTGTATTACACCTGGTGATGCCGTTGCTGTTCCCAATCATATTCACTCGATCTGACAGTTACATGTGAAACCCTCCAGGTTATGTTTGTCCTGGAACGTTTCCTGGGAGAACCGTTGGCCAGCTGCAGGTAACCGGGACCGGTTACGACAAATTCTACAGAGATCAGCCTAAGCCGTTTTTGTTAGCTAGGCTGGGATCTAATGGGTAAACAGAGAGCCTGACCCCATGTTTCCTTAATGCTGCCTGGAAACAGGTTAACACCATTAACGCCGTCATTAATCTGATGATCATTACTGCATTACTCTGGGTCTCTCTTCCAAATCAGGTTCATAAAAACCATTTCAAAATTTGTACCCCATCTGCATCAAAAAGCAAAACAAAAATCATCATAAAAATAAATACCGTCATTACGTAATCCCTACAATGAAGCCCAGAATGTGCACTTGCAACATTCTCTCCTTCTTATGACAGCTTTGAAAGTGCGGGGGTCTCTTAGCTTGGAAGAAAAGGGGGAACACAGGCCCAGTCAGGCGCCCCCGAAAGTCTAATCAGGTCACTGGAAGAGGCGCTGTCCAGACCCGTGTGTGCACTGGGGTTTGCAGAGTTTCTACAACCGGAGGAGGGGGGGGTAGATTGTGGCAGGACCATCTATATGAGGTCTGGCAGAGAAAGAGAACATTAATGGCCAGGCAGCAGATAATGGAGGGGGGGGGGTGTCATTGCTGGCTGGTGTTTGCCTGCATGGAGACGCATGCGGACACAGGATGACGACCCCAGCCTCCCTGCTCAGAGACTAAATGAGGAAACAGGAACAACTTCAGCCCCAAGGCTGCAATTATCATTCCACGTACGTGAGCTCACTTCTCAGACACACACAGAAAATGTCACGCAACCCAAATTAAGTAAATAAACAAACAAACAACCTATCTCCAATTAAACAGAACGAGACAGCACACTGCCAAGCAAAGGGAGCCAATCAGCTGCTTCCCCTCTGCCTTCTACTCTATCATGACCTCTACTGGTGACTGTCAGAACTTTTTTTTTTTTCTTTACACAGCAATGGAGCAGCAAATCACATGTAGGGTTACCCTTTCATCACACCAAACACAGGACCAGGTAAGCTGTGACTGCGAATGCTGCAGCAGGAGTGCATGCAGCAGGAGTGCATGCAGCAGGAGTGCATGCAGCAGGAGTGCATGCAGCAGGAGTGCATGCAGCAGTGCGTTTGGCCTGTGCATGATCGTGTAACTGAAATGTGAACTCGCGGGCAGGCCTTGCCCAAGCTCGGAGGCAGCAGGCCTGCAGTCAAACGCATTTCTGGATTCCTGTTTGCTGTGCTGTTTCTCAGCTCATTCCCCCTTTTGGCACTCCCTAGAGCGACGACCAAGCACATCATTCCAAGTGAAATATAGGACAAGAAGGAAAGAAAACAGGACTGATTTATCCCACCGAGCATCGACCACAGGAGACGAAAATGGCTTCTTCACAATCCGGCACACAGGACTGCCCAGGCTTGACCAGAACTGGTCGCCCCAGAAAAGCAGCTATGGCTACACTGCATGGACAAAGAGAAGCCATTTATGGGAGCGGAAGAAAGTGTTTATTCCATTTTCAAAAAGCGCTCACTTTCAGATCTTACCAGGCAGGTGAAGTTAATCACAGGCTATTTCTCTGCCATTTATGTCAGCAGGATGTGGAGCGAGTGATTTATGAGGGCCAAACACTTATTTAGAGATCATTAGAAGTGCGATACATGCAAGCCCAGTCCTATGTCCGCTCGCTAACTCAAATAAACATGTGGAGGGCCGAACACACGCGCCAGATCCAAAGAGAGCTAGAAAGAAAAATCCAACACTTTACAAAGGCGGAGATCCAGCACCTTTTATAGATGAAGCAGATGTGCAAGCAGGTTGGGAAACTGGCTCAACACTTCTAATGCAACATATATATGACCTATTTTCTTCAACTGACCCTCACTTATAAACAGAGCTGTACATAACTGGTATGCAAGTACGCATTTGGCGTATAAGGCGATATGCGCAGCAATTTCTTGGCATAACAACGCAAATGCACATAAAATAAGTACGATTTTGCGCTATTGCAAGAAATTATCATGCATTTTAACTTTTAGAACACAAAGAACGCATTAGCCAGAAAAAGGTTAAAGGACGCAGTAATTTCTTGTCATAACAGCGCAAGTGCCTACCTACTTTATGTGCATTCATGTTGTCACGCGAAACGTGTACGTGCACACCAGATATGAGAATCCCTGCTTATAAAAATGATGATTATGTACTCAGGATAATGAGAGATAAATCAGCTGACCGATGCATCGATTTCCGGACAGCCACAATGCTGGACTCTACCAGCATCAAGCCTCAGGCCACGGGGAGTGCTGGGAACAGAGTCCCGACCGCTTGGGGGCTATTCGTAATGCGTATTACGTCCTAACACACTCAATTTAGACCGATTTACTGAGCAGCTTATTCAATCATGCTGTAAATCATGCCTGAGTGAGTCATGGGCCACGTGCAATAGAGACAATAAAGCAGAAGGTAAATTGTGATCAATGGGCACCACGTCACAACTGCATACACAAAAGCTAAAAAAACAACCCAGCAGTTTTGCAACATCAGTCACCTTGCCTATGTGAAAGGGTGGGGCCATGTCTAGTCTAGGATAGACACAGATTTCAAAAGTAGAGCAAGTTTCCTTCACTAATCACCTCTGTGTCACAGAGATGATTCTGAGTTCTGGGATTGGTCATCATTTGGACCAGTCAGAGCAATTTCCGAAAACCTTTGGCAAGGATGGCCAAAGACAAGTGAAGGTCGGGAAGGGGGACCGTCAAGCCTCTCTTGGCCTCTTCCATGATGGATCCAACCTGATAAGGCCGCTGAAAGGTAAGGGGACAGGTGTCGATGCAGTCCACGACTATCCAGGGACAGAGCAGCTCTGGCTGTTCTTCAATAAGCATTAAGAAAAAAAAATCAACAGAACAAAGTCGGATGGTGAAAGAGATTTGTGTTTTTGAAGTTCTGGCATCTGTCATCCTGATGTATTTGCTTGAAGTTTCTGTTAAAGAAGCGAAAAAACTTAAAGCCGGTTTCCAAACGCGTTTGATCTCCAGCTCTCTCATGCCCCTCGATCCATCTTCTAAATACCATCTATCCATGCTGTCAGTGTATTATTTCCTCAGTTAAACAGGCAACGGTTTTATGACCATTAGAAGCATCCATGTGGAGGTGAAGGTCCATCTCCTTGTCCAGATTTGCCTTTAAGTCAGTTTTTAAATCAAAAAAGTCACCCCAGAGCTGCGACCCCCCAGTGCAGGCCCATGATGGGCTCCTTTTCTTCACCTCTGCGCCCCCACTTTCCCACCTGCTCTCTTTGGCACAAATAGATGGCCTTTGCTGGCACCGTGCCCCCCCCTCCCCACCTCTTTTTCACGACCGCTGCCAAATGATGTTGACGAAGCTTCTTTTAATCCGTCCACATAAAAACAGCAGCCAAGGCTAAAGGAACGCAACTTCAAACCACCAACACACAAAAAACACGGACCCAGATGGCCACACACACATGGTGGACAGAAAAACAAGTAAACAAATTCATTAAAAGGTCAATATGCATTCAACAGTTATAAAATAATTCCAAGAAAAGAAAAACTGAAATGGCGCAGGTGCAGTGGAAGAGGTCCATTTTGTAATGATCGTGTTAAACCAGCAGCCTCCGGAATGTAGGATCTTACTGTCAATATTTACTCATAAAGCAGATTCAAAATACTGAAACTTTTAATTTAATATCTGAAGAAATATCCAGCCAAGAGCCATCGGGATGTAAACATTCCCAGAGTTCTCAGACTGCAAATTTCTTCAACACGCACATACACACGCAAAACATGCATGCGAAGGTTTTCAAATGGCATCGGAATTTAATTACTTCACAAAGGCAATTAACACAGACCACAAGCCAAAATATGGCCAGTTATCCAATATGAAGAGAAAGGCCAACAGCTATTGGATACGAATGTCTGTTGAACTCAATATCTCAGCATTGAGGCTTCCACATTTCGTGCCTGCCGTGAAATGAAAAACGAGCAAAAAAAATAAAAAACAGCAAATGAGTACTGTAAATATAAATTTAAAACTTGTTTTCATTTGTGGCAAATCCTTTTATGGGCCAACATGTGGTGGGCAAATCTGAAATGCAGCACTCCTCGACCTGCATTTGAGTCACATCAGAATCACATATTAGTCATGAATCTCACAAGAAAGAGAAAATGTACTTTTCAAAATGTAAATAAATACAGCTATCTGTTTTTAATCTCCCAGGAAAAGCAAACGAGAGACTTGATAATGTAAAGATCATTGTTTTGAATAACCAATTAAAGAAAGCTTAGGATATAAGCTAAGTTCAATCGTTGTGTAGGGTAACAAGTAGGCCTATTTGGACAGGTTTAAACAGCCCCTCCCCCCCCCGTCGCTTAAATCATCCGAGATCAGATGCCTCATCTTGGATGAGTTAATGCCGGTGAAACTCATCCGGGATAAGTCGGTTTTTCAAATGCAGGTATGTAGTAGATTAGTCTAGCTGGATCCATTCATCCGAGATGATTGCGCGCGCCTGCGCTGCTTGAAAAGCCCATATATATCGAGTCTAGAAAACTTGATCGGCAAGTCACTCATTGGCTTCCACAAAATGTCAAAAAACAATCTGAGCAGGACCTTTTATTAGAGGGTATGATGAATTCAAAGATTTAATATGTACTAAAGGAAACGCATCAAAAGCGGCCCGAACCAGAAAAGACGGCTGGCAAAAAGTGTCCGACAAATGAAATGTGTAAGTGGTTTTCAGTTATTGTATTTATCACTTGACTGTAGTATTACGTTTCCAGTGTTACATTATTATCTTATTGTCATAATTACAGATCAAATACAAGCACAATCATGCGGGACATGGGAACAAGTTAAAGTACAAACACGACATTTCATTCATAGGAAATATTAAAGATTTCCTACATTTTACATACATAAAATTAACAAACACACACATACACACATATATATAGATATGTGTGTGTGTTAATTTTATGTATATAAAATGTAGGAAATCTTTAATATTTATAAAACATTCCTTTTGAAGCTAATAAGAAGGCGGCAGATAAAACCTTTGGAAATTCTGGGTAATGAGAATATTAGTGTGATTTTTAAAGTCTTTATAGAACTGTAATAAAATTACCTGCAATGGCATAAAACGCCTCTTTAATTGCCTGCACTCGCAGCTGTCCGGGAAAAACAACTGCGAATTGCCTGGCAAACTGTACTCTTTGATATATTTTCCGCATTGCCTAAACTAAGTATACAAAAAAGTGCTGCTTGTAAAATATCTCAAGGCGATGCACATTGTCTGTGTGGCTGTGAGAACCCGACTTCACCTAGCTGGACTTCTACTGTACAGATCGAGCTAATAAGATAGCTTTAAGATATAATATTCCATTTCGGCTGAAGCGCTATCTTTCGAAAAGAATATCATCCGGCAACAATAAAGGATCTTGCCAATCGCGCAAAACCCTCTCAATTTGAAATTCCCTTCTTATATTTGTGCACCGATTGCAATTGGTCGCTCATCCATGTATGGCGATGCCATGACTGAACGGATTTCCATGCACGGACACTGATTAAGTGTGCGAGCTAATCCTTGTTTACGCAGAACAAACCTGCTCCGAGCAGGTTTGAGGATTTGGATGTGCTGCCATGACAACACATCCAGCAAGAGTTTCGAAAAATCGACAGATCCAGGATCATGCCAAATCGTCAACAATTACATCTGGCTAGGCGAGTAAACCATGTACGAAAAATACCCCCCAGGTCCACAAACACACACTAGACATACAGCAAAACAAACAGATGTGTTTTCTTTGGAAATAGGTTTTAAGTTACCAGCACACCTCTCATGCTAAGATCATTTTAAGGAGTCAGACCACATGTAAACTGGTGCTTGTGATACTTTCTGTCAACACCCAGACTCTCTAGATGGGAATCCACTGAAGCTTTGGAGCGGGTTCACTTCTGCGCACGAGCCGATCAGAATGAACGGTGGATACTAGCAGCGTCGCTAGGATAACGCTAAGCTCCGGCACGCACACTGAGAGCAAGGCTGCTAACACATTAGAGCTAAACAGATCATTCGAGGCTTATTCGGATTTACTGGAGGCTTCAGACCCCATGCCTGAGCCCAGTGAGGCCTCTGGTAGATACATTTTAAACAGCCATCAGTCCCCGAAGGTGCTCAAATATGCCCTGGATATTTGGAGAAACAGGTGAAAGTAAAACACGTCAGGCTTCCTTGCAGTATCGCATATCTGTCACGGCTTCACAATATCAGCATGACTATCTGCCGAGAAGTAGAGGTGGGTCTGCGGCTGTGGGGGTGGGGAGGACAATATGATTGTATAACTTAAAGTAAGCTTCCATAACATACTGGGGAACTCCCTTGATATTGAGAAATGACCAGTATCTCTATTTTACTGCATAATAATACCATGTGTGCAGGTTCCATATGTCACCCCATTTTGGGAGTCCCTTTGCATTTGGTTTCTCCCTCCCAGATGCATCCCAGCTTTGAGCTGCAAGCTCCGGCATCTGTGTTGCGTTATGCGACGGCACTAGGGCCAGATACAACTGGCAGGTCCAACAGCCGTGCCTCCTGCCAGTCACTCCATCCTCCCCCTCTCTCTCTCTCTCTCTCTCTCTCTCTGACAGGTGACTTTTTGATGGCTTCATCCCAAGTACAGCTTTGTGTCTGGGACCGACAGTTTCCAAACCGTGGTAAGAGTAGGATGCGAATCCCTCCAAACCTCGAAGAACTGTCTAAGCTGGGACAAAGTGGTGGTGCACTGGGTGGCTGGGTTTGGGGCGTGGGCTCTGTCGGCTGGGGCCGTGGCCCCTGCTCCTGTGCGGGTGGTCGCCCGCATGCGGTGGGGCCTGGCCTGCCCGGGCCCGGTTGCCTGCTGGGGGCGGGGCAGTGTCTGCCGTTGGCGTTCCCAGCGTCAGGCCCTCGGGCACCGTGGGGAGGTTGGGGGGTATTGTTTGGGGGGGCCTCCACCTTGCTTGGGGGGGGGCTGGGGTGCCCGGGCCACCCCGCCTGGCCAGAGCGGCTCTCCATTTGCTGGTGGGTCTGCGGTTGTCCCGTCCTTGGCTGCTAGCTGGGGTCCCATCTGGGGTGGTGGGGCGGGACTCTTCCGGTATGCACCTGCGGGGGCTTACTCATGGGTGGCTTACAGCCTGTGTGCTTTGCATAAATCTTACTTTTGAAGGTACTGGACTAAGCAGCATGTTCCAAAACCACAGCGGCACAAGCAGGCCTCGTTACCTTGGGAACAGCGCTGGGAGCTTGTGCTGGGAGCTTGTTCCAGGCTAATGGCACTTTGGAGCACTTTCCACAGGCTCTGGAAACCTTATATACAGATGATACTGTAAATGTCTTACAATGATTCTACAAATGATTAAAAGGGAGTCACTGGAAGACAAGAGTTTTCATGAAGGAACTTCAGGCTTTGGACAAGCTGGTCAAGAGCCACTATCTGGAAGCACTTTAACGAGAGCAGTATTGCCGAGAAAATGTATTGTGTCCTTGGTTTCTGAAAGACCTGGACTGGCCACAAAACCAAGCACAGCCCAAGAAAGAGACCGGCTTCCGCATACATAATCACTGATTCTTCTCTCTACAGCCTCTAGTACCCACTAACCAAAAAGAAAAGGGCCCTTTGGCTGGATGAATGTTATGACAGGTCAATCGTTTGATTGGGCTCAGCTTTACAAAAACAGGGAGAGGCTTGTTTAACAGAACTCCATCAAAAAAAACATCTTCAGAGATCAACCGATATGTTACTTTTGAAGTTCAGAAACCTTGCAAAGTTTCGCGACAAAGTAAAACATTAAAAGTCAGATTCGGACCCTGGAGCCAGAATTTAGGGTGGAGGTGGTAGGTGAACTCCGTCCTTGGCACAAAATAACCTGCGATCGGGGATGAGATCTTCCTCTCTCACCCAATCAGACAGAAACTCACCTAGCTGAACATAATCCAAACCAGGGGTCTGATACAGAGATAGACTGTCAGCTTCCAGGTCTGTGGAAGCTCTAAGCACAGGCTGCTGCAGACGAGTGGTGTGAGATTAGCGGCATAGGAGGGAAAGGCTGGCGGGTGGCTTCCTGGTGGACAAAGCTGTTCAATGAACATGAGGATGAAGGCAAAAGCCTTACATGACTTCCTCACACCCCAGAGCTGAACACCGAAGCTTTATGGGAAGTTCTGGAGCACAGTGTGTGAAGCAGATTTCCAGAAGATCGAGGTTTTTCTCTTGTTGGAGAATGTTCTTACACCCAGTTCAGGACTCGTATGACAATATTCCAAGGACATGAGCTTTTTTTAAGGGTAAAGGGAGGTCTTACTCCTTTTATGTGCTATTAATATATTGTTAGGTATTTCAATTATGTTATCGACCCCCTCTCTCTCTCTCTCTCTCTCTCTCTCTCTCTCTCTCTCTCTCTCTCTCTATATATTCACTCCCCTTCACTGTCACTCCCACACACACACAGACTCCTTATCTTCTATCTGCTAAACTATTCAGTGGTTTAGTCTATTTCTTATCTACTGAATTCCTTGGATTGAGTTTCATGGTTTGTAAAGACAAGTAGACACACCTCACAAACATACACAATAGAGGCTACAAACTCTAACAGCATATGAGAGGTGTAAGCACAACACTGTCACATGGAGGACCAACACTATGCTATTTGAGCACCTTGCATAGGTACTTGCGCAATACTGAATATCACTAAAAAAAACACCTGTTAACCACAACTTATTTTCAGCAACAAGATCAGTAATATTTTATTCCTCCCCTCTCAAACATAAACAGTACCCCCTCCTGATACAGATTCCCTATATATGAAGCCCAGGCAGGTTTATGAAATGAAAACCGTTCCAGGAGTGGGAAAGTGACTCAGTGGTGGCTGTGGAGGTGACTCGCAGGTGATTTCCCGCTGCCTTCCGGGAATCCAGAAAGTTCAGACATGACGCCAATCCTTGTAAGAGTCCGCCGCGCTGGGGTGTGACCTCAGTTAAAAAAAAAAAAAAACAAACGGCACAATCTCCGCCCCCCCAGCGTTCACTTAAAATCAACGGGAAGGGAAACCTCACCTGGTTCAGGTGGCTCGAGTGTCACCTGTGCACACCTGCGCCCGTGTCATCTGAACTTCCGCGAGTTCGCATACCTGGCAAGGAGCCAGAATTTTCATTTAGGGTGGGAAAAATAACTGACGAACACTGGACAGGCCGGTCCATAAGGGCACAAAGCAGACGCAGCCTCCAGCGGCCAACGAGCGTGAAGAAGGACACTGCAGTAGACAGGGACTGCCGCCGCAATCGCGGAGCTAAGATTTCGGTTACTTCCGACAAGTCCCATCAAGGCAAGAACAAGGTTCCTGGCATCGACAGGTACTGAGGAACCTGGCAAGACTCGCACAGGTAGGCAATTATTTTAATCTCCACGCAAACACACCTGAAAGTTGTGCCTGTGTATGTGTCTCCGCGGAGTCGAACGAGGCGTTTTCACCAACACGGGTAGGGATTCCAGCTCTGGCTACAGTGACACTTTGAGGACAGAGTGGTGTTAATGGGTTACCTGCAAACTGTAAGTCTGGAAGACAGCGCTCGCCATCGCAAGCGGTTTCCAAGGCGCTGTCCTCACAGCGGAGGGGGAAACGTTACGCCAACCACCCCCCATATAACTTACATGCGTTAAAAGGAATGCTGCTGTCCCTACACCCCACGATCTCCCGCTGCTACAAAACAGGCGATAAAATGTTTACGGCTCCGCGGGACATGCCTTCTGCAGCACGTCCTGCTTTTACAAGTGAGTGCTTCAAGTCACGAACACCGTTTGCTGTAGGAAGGCCCGTTAGACAGCCATAAAAATTTATATTTCCAAAAAAACAGTACCTTCTTCATTAAAAAGTGCTTATAATGAGCTGTACTACAAGTCACCCAATAGAGTAATTAGAATGCTTATTACTGTAACAGGGGAATTGTGGGGAAATGCACATTAACAATTCTGCGCTTGAACTGAAGTAATGTGCTGAGGAGCAGATTGCGATGGGCGTGATTTTCCGAGAATGCTTTTAACGCTTTTACGTTTGCTCTGAAGTACCGGAAAAAGCAGGAAAAAAATGCACAGTCCCAAACTATCACAGTTTGATGGAGAAGACCCATCTGTCACACTGATAGATTTAAACTCGTTTTAGCTGTACGTCGAAAAATACCATTCCCATTAGAGAGAGAACTCCCGAAAGGTTGTTCGTCTTTTTCAGGCGAAACCAGACGGCAGATAGCTGGTTGCGAACAACTGGTTTCTGTCATTTAAGGGAAGAGGGGAGCCAGTTTGAACAGGCCTGCGTTGCAACACAGCCCACATGCCGGTCTGCTTCCTTTATTTTAACGGAAACGCATGGCAACGGGGAATTAATAACGTGAAACAAACAGGCACCTAAAAATTCAGACTTGGCACGGGGGGGCTTCATATTCCTTATGTAATTATAATCTGATTCAGGCTATTAACAAAAGCTTCCAAATCCTAGCCCTTAAACAAGATGGCTCTTAGTGAACGATCAGACTTTTGAAAACCAGACTTATACAGGGTGTTGCCTATATCGCTGTGATCGCCTTGTTCAATCGGGTTATGCTGGCTGGGTTAGCATTAATGGTTAGCATTAACGTTGCCTGGCACCTCCTCGCACATGTCAGACCGGCAACCCAGCTCTGAACGGTGACCTCATGGTATCGCCTCCCGGCACCGCCGGAGCAGGTGCCCTCGTTAAACACCCTTCACACTCTCCCCCAAACGGCACCTGGCGCGTGCGAGGGGCCCGCAGGCTGGCAGCGAGACACGTAATAAAGCGCGCTGAGCGTGCCGAGGACTGATGCCCCGCCACCGGCACGCTAACCCCAGCCCCACGCCACTTCCTAAACAGAATTCCTGTTTTTCTTTTGCATGGCTCCCCAGGACCGACGGCTTCCCTGGCAACGTCCGCATTCTGAAAGGCTCGACGAGCGAAGTCTCAGGATGCCCCTAAAGCCTGCAGCAAGCCTGCAGCAAGACCGGGGCTTCCCGGTGAACCGGTGGCCCTCTTGGTCCCAGAGGCACCGGGGCTCACTGTCCGTCAACATGATCAGCCTGCCGCTGGGCGACTTCCGCCACCTGTCACACATCGGGGGCAAGGACCACCAGGACAATTTCGGCGATCTCTCCTTCCTGCGGTCGGGTCATAACCTACTTCTGCAGTCCTCAAAGAGTGAGCAGAACCTGCTCCTGGCCTGTGCCCCGCCACCCAAGCCCCCCCGCCTGAATCTGGAGTCTCCCGAAACACAAGGCCCCCCCGACTGGAACGTCAGGAGCCAGTATTCGCAGCGACGCAAGATGTGCAGTTCCCTGCCACTGCTGGACAGTGAGGAAGGGGAAGAGCCAGCCTCAGAGGAGGCTGAGGTTGGGGGTAGCACCGGGCGGGACAGCACCAGGCGGGACAGCACTGGCCAAGGCAGCGTCAGCTCTGGGGGGGACGAAGACTCATTTCCAGCTAAAATGGAAGAAGTTCTGCCAGAAGAGGACGATTCCATCTTCTCCCTGGACCTGGGCCCATCCATCCTAGATGATGTCCTCAGGGTGATGGACAGGTTCCACTAATGAGTCAAGGAGCCCCAAACTTCTCATCCACCATCACCAGGGGTCCTGCAAGTAATGACTGCTGACGTGAGCACTGTTAGCAACATGCTAACACAAGCCATGATGAGATGGGTTTCTGCTAAAGTCTGCCGTGCTGTCATGTGACGAGGCATGAAGGCGCAATGACGATGATCCTTCTCGTGGATTTACGTGAAGGTCGGGTGACCCGCTGTAAGGGACCTACCATCGCTTTGAACATTTCCTTCAGCAGAAAGCACTGTTCTGGGCTGGAGTGACACACCCGCATTTCTGCACAGGCTAACGGCTAAACAAGAAGACATGGAAGCTCTTCTGGCCCAGTTGCAGATCACCATACATTCCAAGCTTCAGTCTGACAGTTTAGACTGACGCCTTTATCCCTTGGTTGTGCACACAAAAGCTTCATATTTATAGTAAAGGCGGGACTGTGTAACACGCCCCAATAAAAAAGCCTTGAACATCAAAGCAGTTTGAAAACGAGTCTGATTTTTACTCTGAAAGGCGGGAGATAAACCACTCAATCATTAACTGAGTTTGTTCAACAAAGGCTACAGGAAAGGTAGCTTGTAACTGGTTATTCAAGCAGAGTGCCACGGAATCCAAAGCTTTACAATAAACTATGTATAAATGAAGTTTAACATCAGAGAGAAAGCAACCTGTAGATACAAGGCACCAGAATTAATTCTAGCTTGAGGTAAACCAAACTAGTTGTGTCAAAATGCACAGTTAAAATGAACAGCATAAAGGTTCGACAGTCCCTGAGCTTGGCAATTAAGAAGCAGTCATTAAGTTAATCACAAGTTTAAGACAGGTCAGAAATGACCTAAGAGCTTAAATGTTATCGCTATATGGCTGGGGGGGGCAGCACATTTACCAGCCCACACTGTGTGTGTGTGTGTGTGTGTGTGTGTGTGTGTGTGTGTGTGTGTGTGTGAGAAACCAAGCCTGACCCGGGGGGCATTTGAGGTTTGGCAGTTATTCTTACAGAGCAGGCCCATTTGCCATAGCGCTGTGTGGAATATTGTCGTCTCGCAGATCTGCCATCTTGATTAATTCAAGGCACTATTCCCCTATTCCTGCCCCCCCCCCAGCACACATCCCAACAGACACCCTCAAGCCAAGCACGAATACAGCATACCCCCCCCCCACACCTCCCCGCATGCAACGGGGCAGAAAAAACAAACAGGGGGCAGTCACAGAGCCTCAGAAGTCTGCAGCCCAAGCTGGGCCGTAGCTGCACCGCCGCTTCTGCCTGGGGAAGCAGGAGTGGGGGTTGGTTGATACAGTACTTCCACATGTGCCCTGGGGAGGGCTTGCCGAGCACAACCGGGGGGTTTTAAACGTCACCCGCTGAAGAAACAGCAACTACGTCACCTGGCCATCCCACCCGTCGGGAAGTGGTCTGGGTTCTATGTGCCAACTACATCTATATGACCCTCAGCATACACACAGAGAGACGGACCGGAATAGACAAACACTATGGAGGCACAGTGATCACTGCCCGACAGATCTACCCCCCTCCACCCAATGCTGGGGGCAAGAGGTATTTAGTGCCAGTGGGACACACTCTAGACATCTTCAGACAGAATGATAATTCTATACATTTAAAGGTCAGAGAGACCAGAAGCCCCCAAACCACATGTCAGACACAGCTGGACCTCCTATTCTGCCCTTTAAATAAAGCTGTAATCTTTTAAATCCTTTCCTGCCAAACGCTGTCAGATGGGGAGCCAGTCAATCTACACGCACATCTCACGCAGACCGAACTGAAGAGTTCGTCAACGCCAATAGGGGGCACTGTGTCAGCACAGGGCCAGCATCAATGCCCGGAAGGGTGTGGGTTCAAATCCCGGAACTGGCAGAATAAACGCTGGCCAAACCTGCACTCTGATCCTCACCTGTGTGTGGGTGTCTGTCTCTATCACAGAGATAAGATGGGATGTGCAAAAACGTCCAGGCCTCTCCAAGTACATGAATAAAACTCTATACACACTTTGACTTTATCAGAAAAAAACGCGTTTCAAAAAAATAGTTTGTCTTTTTGGTGTTTTGGTTTTAGGCTACATAGTATCACATTGCGATATGTAAAATTAAAAAAATTTAAAATCAACTATAAGGAAACAGACCTTGTTATTATTTGTCATTGCCGACAAATACGATGCAATTATTGTGCATACGCACAACACGACGAAGATGCTGAAAAGATATATAGTGCAGCCCTAGATTTTGTTGCAAAAAACAGATGAATGTTTTGTCTGTTATAAGCATGGATGGTCATAAGCAGCTGCATCACACTGGCCTATCACTTACTCATTAAATAAACAATACTACAGTGGAAAAGGTGGAAGCTGGAAAATGTTACAGATATTTGATGCCTGAGCTGATTCTGTGAAGTTCTTCATACAAATTAAAAACAAAGCACCACACCAATATAGTGACCGACCTATGACACCTGACCTATGACAACTGACCTACTCAAATGACACCTGACCTACTCAAAAGACACCTGACCTACTCCAAATATGTGTGCCTTCTGCCCATATGGAAGCTGCCCAGAGCCGTCTGGGAGGCCGCTGCTCAGAGATGTCCCAAGTGATGGCAAACAATGGCGATCAGGAGGAAGTCTGCAGATCTTCTGCTGTCACATCTCAGTTTTACAAGAGGGCAGCAGAAGACCATTCTGAATAACGCTGTCATGGAACGGAAATGTGCAAACTTAAACTCACATGTGTGAGACAGTCAAAAGAGAGAAGAACATTAGTTACAGGCCATTATCGTTTGTTGTTTTTCATGCTGAGCTCCCCCCAGCAGATCTAATGCGCGATGGGGTTTAAGACTACCTTTCTTTCACACTAGCTCAGAAAATCCATCATCGCCCCAAAGCCGCTCAGCAAACAGCACGTGTGAGCAGCCGGCAGATGAAAAGGTACTTACGTGTCAGCCTCACTACTTCGTGATCTCATACTTCGCACATTTTTTTTTTCATGGGGTAACTGGAGGCCACGGCATTACGGAATCTTCAGGAGCGCAGTGGAATCTCGCTGGCTGACGTCATACGGCCCCAGCCGCAGACGAGTCACGCCAAGGCCAGAAGGCCACTTCGTACGGCAATTATCCGTCTGGCTGACAAACTGAAGGCTAGCCTTACGCTTCAGGGCGGGTGGAAAGGGACTGTGGCTATGAGCCACACAGCTGGCTGGCGGGACTGTCACAGCAGCAACCGCAGACCGGATCCCTCCAGCTGGGTGGCTGTGAAACACATGACAAAGCTCACGTCGTCTGCAGTCGGTCCCGATGAACGTAGGAATCGACGATGAGAAAAAGTCACACCCATTACAGACGCCGGCCTGCTATCACACAACAAAGCGACCGAGGAAAAAAAGGATGAGCGAGTATGATGAGAAACATGCTCGTGTTATAATGTACATGGATTCCCAGCTGCAGTGGAACCGCCCAGTGCATTCCACAAGCTCTCTCTGAGCGAGTCCGTTCCTGTAAAGAGATGCACACGACCTACACGACAGAGCAGGGCGACGATATGCATTTACAGCACGAGGAACGATACGCATAAACCATAGCATACCGCAAATGGTGAAAACCCCCAGGAACCGCCCGATTATCACATTTATATCCGTTTAACAACTTCCAACAGCTTATAGGCAGATGTGTTAGTGCTTCCGGATGGTTCGACGCTTTGCTCACAGACGCAACAGCAGTGCCGGCAGCTAGGTAGTGAGGGCATCAAGGAAGGTGTGACACCAGCAAGCACCTTATTCACGGCTCGGTCTGACATCTGTACACAGGCTGCAACCCCGCCAACAGAATATACCCTATTAAGCCACTATACACCACTCACCCGACCGAGACCCTCAGACCACTTTCACATTTCGTAGCCCTGCAACTCTCAAAATAGGGTTGCCAAGACAACCTAAGAGAAATGAACCGATAACGACAGGCATCGCAAACAGATGTCACCGTAACAGACCCTAGCCCCCTCCTGGTACAACATGTTCCTTTAATCTCTTAATTACCTTTCCTATAAGCCTGGATCTTAGCCATCCCTTATCTCTTCCCATAAGGCGCATGGCTGCAATACAGATGTGAACAGCATGAGCTTTCCCCTGTGCCCAAAACCGCGATTTCCCTTCAGTGTGCACTGAAATCTAAACAAAACATTCCACAGTCAGGGGGTCTTCAAACCAAAACTATGAATAATCCCTGTTGAGTCTGGTGTGTGTCATTAATCTGGACAAAGCTACCGTGCTTAATACCTTAGTATAATGGGTATTCTTCCCTGACTATTCCTAAAAGGCAGCGCGCTCAGAAATGGATGAAAAACAGGTTCCGAATTCAGAGCAAAGTGATGCATAAAGGAGCCCCACGTTCTTAAGGGGTATCTATTGTTGTAAGCATTTCTCGGACATTACGCCAGTAGCCAAATGTGAGGACCGGCATCAAGGGAGGTATGAGTGTGAGTTTGGGTGCCATGAGATTTGACACACAGGCTACCCTCATTCATTCTCAAAAGGCAAAAAAAGAACATTCATCAGGATGGTCTAACAGTAACGAAGCAGTACATGCCTTATTAAACTCTCTAACCTTTGCATCATCATTTAATGGATCAGTAATATGACTGGTGCCATAGTTACCATCAATATCATTATTAGCATTGCCTCGATCGAGGCCGATGTGGGCCAATCACTTCCATCTCTCCAGTGTGCACTCGGACCACTCGGCGCGGAACAGACTTATTAACTGGAAGAAACACGACTGTAAATCATTCAGCCATGTTTGTTGATGTAGGCAGCACACACTGTGGCCGGCTCACGTGTGCCAGGAAGCCACCAGTGAGATTCCCCGTCCAGCATACTGAAACTCAGTGAGGGCACAGCCAGGAATAACATCAGGAGGATTTAAAACAATATTACGGCTGAACCAGTTAAAGTATTCGCATATTTCACTGTCACAGCATATAGTGGAGCAGAAAGTGGCTCAGAGGAGGACGACTATCGCAGGGCAGCATTTGACCTGACGAGAAACGCAGTTTCTGCAAGCCCACCTGCGAGCAAGCAGCTGTGGGTCCCCACGAGTCCGGAGAACATAAGTCCAAGCAGACATTGAGTCCCCCATTAGCATGAGAGTTAAAGAACCTGCCTGGTACGGTAAGGAGAACATGGCTGGAGAATTCTGCTCCTTCTGCTCCTTATTTCTCTGAGAAGAAATGGATGACTAAAAAGGGCATGTCTTCCTCTTCGTCCACCAGGCTCACAGATGAAAACAGGAACTCCGGTGACTTAGACCACCACGGGAGAGGAGTATGCCGACGTCCAGGCTTCCTTCGTCCCCCAGTCGAACCTTCGGCTTTTCATCGAGGTGGGGCCTGCCTTGTGGAAGGCTTGCTCACGACGGGCTAATGCATGAACGGCCTACAGGTCGTGATCAGCTTCTTCCCTCCCCCTAAGCACCAAGAAGGTGACCACAAAGGCACCCTGCAGGATCGCCCAGGACATCGATACCCAAATGTGATTGATAAAGTCAACGAGGGGCTTAATATCAAGAGGACGGGACAGAAATGCGGTATGATTACATGCAAGATACAGCCGCCACATGCAGTCCTGATAAAGGCCGCAGACAACCGTGAGTGACGACTCAGACAGTGGGGCTAAGCTTGGGCCGGCTACAGCACGGAGCGGGGGGGGCCTTGGCCACATGAAGTGAATTACAGGTCTACGCTTGGGAAAACCACTGACCACCCCCCCCCCCCCCGCCCCACCGCAATTCCCGACATCCAGCTCGCACTGCTCCCTATCCACAGAGCATTCCGACCATACTGCTGAAGCAATCGCACATGTGGGATTCCTCAATGCGGGTTTAGGCACGAAATCCCTTTCGGAAGAGTCTCCCCTCAACCCCCAGGAGCGCCCATGTGCTGAGACAACATACAGCACAAATGGAAGACAGGTATCTGTGCCTGAGCATCCCCAAACCAACCGCTCTGGGGGGCTTGTGGGATTCCGCCCATAGCCGTCAGGCCAACCCGCCTGAATTCTCTAATAAAAGACGGAGCAGGGGGCCCCCCAGACATGGAGGGAGGCAAAGCAAAACCCACTCCAAGGCAAACAAATTTAAGTCCATTTAACCAAACACTTTCTCTTTATCCAGACAAGGAGAGTGCAAGGATTGGGACAATATTTGCACAATGATACAAAAGTAAACCCCTGAATGATTGCATATTTTCCTTGCAGGGAAGGTGCATAGATTACAGGGGAACATTATTTCAGCTCCAGGCTCTGCTCTGCAGGGTGTCCACTTCCAGTATTTCGCAATGAATTTATACCGTGTTGAGGTTAGATAGAAAGAGACAAAAAACCTGAATGGTCAGAAAGATCACACAGAGGTCCAGTGAAACACATCCATCCCAATGGTGCATCCGGGGTACGGTACCTGTGCCGGTCTGAATGGGCCATCTGTGCTCTGTGAGGCTGGTGCTATGACCTCAGGTTGCCCTTCAAGCCATGAAATCTTCAGTGGGTTTTCCGTCAGGCCCAATTCATTTTTATACGCAAGTTCCTAAAAACAGAACAACTCATGAAGACAAAGACACAAGCAACCACATGAAACAGCACCTTCTTGTGACCACGCCAACTCTCTCTAAATCAGATGCTGACTGCAAGACGTGGAGTTTCACCGAATGAAGGAGTGTGGCAGAGCAGCTGCTGACCGCTTGATGGCCCCTGGGCGGCCTGCCAGTGCCCTGGGCCTCACAAGTCGCCCCAAGACCCACCAGGATCCAGACAACGACCGCAATCTGAGAGAAGGTCCCTAAGGAGGGCCGGCATGCTCTCTCAAGGGTAACCACACAGACTCCACAACAAACAGAACCTCGCAACAAAAAGAATCGGCTCTCACACGTACCCGAACAATGGGGCCCTTCTGCCAAAAATCCACTGGTTCCCATTAGGGAAGAGTTTGTGGGCCTTCTAGAACACTTGAGCAAACCCAAACTTACAGGCTACATGAGCACATGGGACTTTACATGTGTGTCAAGCTCTCAGAGACATGACAGCCTGCGACGTGCACAGTACCCATTGATCCAGAGATAAACAAACAGCAGGAGGTACTTACAGCTGCTCTGACAGTTGCAAATTCCACCACTGCACTCCCATTCTTCTTGCCCGACACCACAACGTTCAACACATCACCGTACTGGAAGGAAAAAAGGTGAATTATATTGGCAAGAAAGCCAAGACCAGATGATAGTTAACACTACAAAAATGATCTATGCAAACACAGGCTGAAGCTTGGGGAATTCAAAGTGAAATTTAACTCTCATTCTTTTGTCAATAAAAGCACGGTGTCCAAGACAAAGAATGAGACTGAAAAATAAAGCATGAAAATGAGCATATTCCAATAAAGACAAGCGTAACCAGACCTGGAAATTCAGCTCGCCCACTTGCCGGAGGCGGGTAATTTAGACAAAGAGTGAAGCACAGAAAACTGAAAACTAGCCTGCTGGCTAGTAAAAAATTGCATGTCAGACTACTACAAAAAATGTTATGCTGCATATACATCTGTCAGCAGAGGAACATAGACTGCAGCCTGTCCAAAAATGTGCACATGTGTAGGGTCTTTGTCGTTAATCCCAGTTTCAGACTCATCCCAGGTAGCCAATCAACTTGAAGGCCATGATCAATTGCTATTCGACGTTGAACTCTTCATTTTCCAAAGCAACTAATTAGTAGAGAGTTAGTAAGCTAGACTGGAAAACTAAACTGAATAAATTATATTTAATGTATCACTTTTTTTTCCCAAAAACTATCCCCACCTTCACCAAAGCATCTTCATGCAGACTTTAAAAAAGACAAGGATGACTGGTAGGGATATTAATGAATGATATACTGAAAATGGTAATATATTATTGTAAGATGTGATGGCCTTTGGTTGCCCTTTCTGCTTGAAAATTACATTGTAAGCTAGTAAAGATATATGTGGGCTACTGCATCTTTACTACCCCAGTTGAGCCCTTCCCAATAAGCAACAAGAAAATAAGTCTTAAAACCAGTAAGAGTGAATCTCGTAGGACAAAAACATGAAGTGCTGTATTCCAAAAACACCAGTCCATATGCGAAGGCCCACCAAGTGACCTAGAGTGACAGCAGAGTTAAACCACGATATATGCCACGATATCCGCAGCACATGCCTCTGACACACTGTCTGGAAGACACAATAACCATTTTTCCCGAATTACTCAGAGGTTACTGTAATGCACTGGGAAAGACCCAGTCAACACCGAGATAATCCGTCGACGAGAAATCTCTCCCCTGAAGAGCTGCGTCTTATCTTCTCTGAGTCACGCAACACAGAATACGTTTTCTGTACAAGACAAAAAATAATTTAAAAATATATGCTAAGATTAGATGCAACCTTTTCTTGATCCTCTAACAATCATTTCTGGAACATGAAGGTTGAGGGAAAAACATTCTGCTTTTGACCTAATGTAAGTATCGAGCTTGGCGGGGGGGGGGTCCTAATGTTGACGTCCAAATCTTGACTAGGATCTATGTGATGCTGTTAAAGATGATGGCCTTCAGCTGCACAGATCCGCATGGGCGAGCTCCCATTTCCCAGGCAGAAGCAGAGCTTACCACTCGCCCCATGCCCACAGGCCCCAGCTGGTACAGAACAGACCATGCGGCCAGCTACTGGAATGCTATGTGGGTTCTATTGGGAGAGGAGGATTCCAGCTTTCCTGCTGCGTGGAAAAGCTGGTCTCCCCGTCAACATCTGGGAAAAGGGCAGGACGGGAATGCAAACAGGCACCCGGTACCCGAAGCCTGGGCAACAGCGACAAAAGTAGTACAGACCATCATGTGTTGTGCTTCCAAATGACACAGCTTGCTTTAAACATGGATGGAAGTCCAAAGTACACAAAGTCCTGTTCCCAGAGGGAGTTCTGCTCATTTAGTCTTCAGCACTACCTGCCTCTCAGCTTGTCCTCTCGCTCCTATGAGACGATTCTTGTTTTTTTTTTTTTTTTTAAAGAAATATTGTTTTTTTTTTAAAAATGACTATTTTCATTCTCTTCGCCAAGTCAGCTCCATGCTTCTTTTCCCACAGTTCTTTGACCCTGCTTCCCATGTCCAGGGCACTGATCCAGGCTGATAACGTGCGTGCGAGGAAGGGTTGAAACCGTGCCCTTTTTCTTTCCCCCCCAGACTTCACACCAGTTGCACTTGGACCGAGCCGTGCGAATTCCTGCGTGTGCCCTTCGGCCTGCCGCCGCTCCCGCTCTTAAGCGCCACGGGTTCGGACACAGCGCGGCGTTGCATGAGAAAGGCCCATTTCCTAACAAGCCCCCAGGCACCGCTAAACCCACCCAGCAATCGGGGCACCAGAAATGGCGTGTCCCACTTTAAGAGGGCAACACTCTGCCCTCAGCAAGTTTCGCTGCAACAAAACTTAATAGAGCTAACGATGGGGGGGGGAGAATAAAACACTTTAAACAGTGATGTCATGTGGACCTCCACGTAGCCCTGGACGGCAGGCGAGCTCCGTTACACGCAAAGCTGGAAGCAGGAGAGCATCTGCACCGGTAAACCTGGCTTTAGACCTCAGGGGGCCTGTCATTCTATACTGCAAAATGATGGTCCATACTCCATTCTTCTGCTTTACAGAAACCCACTGCCCTCCATCAAGGGTAAAAATCTCAAGATATTACATAACTGGTGTATCTATTCCTCCAGATTGGCAGGGGACATATTCCTGAACGCCACTCGGCAGGAGAGCAGGAAGCCGCGAGTTCCCCCGTGGCCGTGCAAGACAAAAAGTTCTCGTAAATAAGCCCCAATAATCTGTGGCACTCACCTTCTGTAGGAGGCTGCAGAGGAAGTCGCGAGAATAGCCACCGTTAGTTTCATCTTCTTTTTTACTTTTCCACTTTAGCTGAAAGGTAGAGGGGCAGAAATGAAATCTGAGGCAGAGAGACTCATTGCAGAGAGATAGAAAAGACATGCAAAGGAGAGAGAGTTAAGCAGGGCCCGGTTTTATTGCAATGTCAGGAACACGACGGCACTAATGCGATGGCACGCACAGCTCAGCGCGGAATGGTACCACCGCAGCCGCATTTGCTATGCTGCAGGGGAGCTGTTTAAAAGATCCTGGAATCATCCCACCATCCAGGGGCCTGTAGTTAATTCTCACTGAACTCAACGCATTTGGAGGAGCTGCAAATTTAACATAGGGGTCTGGACCAATGTTCCTCAATCCGGTCCACATTTTTGCTCCCTCCCGGCTCCCTGCCAGCTCCCGGTAAGCTGAGAGGGAGCAGAAACATGGACTGTCTGCAGGTCCCGGAGGACTGGACTGGGAAACACTGGCCTTGACTAACAAAAACACACTGACTCACCTGCTAACCACAAACCACAGAGTTTAGTTGCCTGACATCAGAAGAGCTTTACGACAGAATTACACAAAGGATGGGAAATGACGGATTCAGTGACAGATCCTTTAATACTACAAGCCCTGAGGCTTATACTGGACCAAAGGAAATTAATCACAAGAGGACAGTGATGGCCAAGTGGAGGAAAACTATGTTCCACCTACATCTTCTGAGAAATCGGTTCAGCCCCAGAGCCCAATTATGGCACCAGTTGCTGTTGTTGATGGCGCCTTTAAAATATGACTGGACCACAGAGAAAAGGCACAAACTGGATGGTATGTCCAACAACAACCCACGTGTGAAATGGCCAGGAACCTCAGCACACCAAGGCGCCAGTTACGGCTGTTCGCAAGTGGCAGAGACGCTGTCCAGTTGGAACAGGACTCCAGGCACCACTGGCCTCAACTTACGGGAAGCTGAAGATCTTTAGCCGAACTCAAGATGACCAGTGAATACGATGGGAACCAGAGGTGGAAAGTTCGGGTTCAGAAAGTACAAATTCAGACAAAGATTTTGCTTCAACCAACCAGTTGAATACTCTGTGAATGTGAGTCTTCATGCTCAACTGGTTGGCTGAGACAAAACCTTGGTTGGATTTGTACTTTCTGAACCTGAAACTTTCCACCTCTGACGGGAACAATGTAGCAGGGCAGTCCAGAGAAGTCTGTCTAATCAACAGTCACACAATTGAACATGACACATTTTTATTAAAGCCCAGCTCAGTTTTCATGGGACCTTCAATGTATGCATGACCATTGTCAACTTCTGGTTTCTACCCAATTCATCTCGATCCAATTCCATCACCACTAGTGAGGGGAAAACATAAGGCTTTGAAATTCAAAATGAGTGGGATTGTTACCCTCTGACAGCCACAGTCAGCTTACCCAAGCTCCAACCTTGGGTACATGGTAAACCCAAAAACCAAAGTGTCATTCCAGGCTTTGATGGTTATCAAAGTAAAAACCATGGCATCCAACACAGAACCCTATAGAGTCAGAGGTGTAACCTCATGCCGCCTGGATGGTGAAATCACTGGTATGAATACCCGTTTTTGCAACGGGCTTAATCCAAATGCAATATGAGCTAGGTGTGAGCCTTACCGCCATCTACCCCATGGCCCTGGACAACGTCAGGAACAGAAACGCTGATGACACCCCAAAGTCAAACTCTCTGTTCCTCGTCAAAGAAAACAGTTCTTGGAAGCAGTCTCAAGAATTTTTGCTTCAATTTACCAAAGTCAATTCACAAAACAAATACCCCCACAACCCACCCTTCCCAAGTTACTTGCTCCTCTATGATAAGTTTATACACCATTAATCTTCTGACAAGGCAGAACAGCCTCTGGGTTAATCCCAGCAGGTCTGGTGGAGCACTGCTAGTCTAAACAACCGAAAGAAGCTTTTTGGGAGAGCAGTACTGGGTTCCAGAGCAGGAAACAGTTCACTGAAATTAAAAACCAAAGACAGACCACAAATAACTGAGGAGCAAATGTAGCATTCACCCAGATAAATACACAATACGAATCACCATTGTGTCCTTCAAGAAACGCCAAACTTCTATCTAAAAGGTGACCATTTTGACCATTTAAGTCTCTTGATAGCAGAAGCAGAAGTTCGTAAACTGCTTGACAAAAAAAGGCGGCACAATGGCACCCTTCCTGGCTGCAGGTTTTTAACTAGCTATTGTTCTAACCCCAAATAGAACTCGCCGTCTAAATATATTTTCGAAAATAGTTTTCCACTTCCACTGTACACATGAGCCAGGGTACTGGAATGCAGGTACCTGCAAGCAGACACGCAAAGAGAGCTAAAGGCCTCCCAGGCAGCGTGAAAAGGAGTGAGTGAGTTTGACTCCATATACTGTCATACGCTTGGGTTAAGAGGACACTGATATGTCATCTCAGTGGGGCCGTGTCGGCAATGCGCATCAGGAATGACACGCACACGCATACGCTGATGCCATTTCACATGCAGGTGGAGACAACAATGCATTTCTGCGGGCCATTTGTGTCGCTTCAGAGATATCACCGCTTGGGGTGAAGGAACCGGTTCGACAGGACTGACATCCTCAAGCAGTGTCAACAACCCTCTGACCCAGATCACACACCCTTTCCAAGAACCAAGGAAACGTACTGTCGTGATGCACTGCAATTTAACAAGGAGGAAATGAAGAGCACCGGACTGAGCAAATGAGGAGAGAAAAGCGGCAAAGCCGATGCAATTGTGACCATGAAGATGAACTGAAACAGCACTAATGCCAAGCTGAAAGTATCTCGAAAAGTACAGATGAATTTATCACCAAGGTTTACGTCTCTCATTGGGCAAAAAGATTTTCACTAACCGTGGGCAGGACAGAGCCATGGGATGGCTAACAGAATTACATGCACAAGCATCATGTTATATCCCCTTATCCTAGAGCAGTGTTTCTCAGCCCAGTCCTCCAGGACCCCAGACAGTCCAGGTTTTTGTTCCTCCCAGCTCTCAGCACACCTGAACCAAACACCGAATACCTGCTACAGCTGTGCTGGGTGAGAGCACAAATGCGGACTGTCTTGGGGTCCCCGAGAACTGGGCTGAAAAACACGGTACCATTTTACTTAAAGCAGTCATTATAATGCATTATAAATACCTTTGTAATGCATTGTAACTGTCAGTATAAGAGGTAAGGAGGCTTTTGTACTGCATCATGACTGTATTTATAATGTATTATAGATGAGAGCTACATAGAGCATTCATAATCCATAAACATGGCATAAGGTGTTATGCCTTTTTATAAATAGTTATAGCCATGTTTATAATACTTTATGAATGCATTATGAAGATATCTATATTGCATTGTACATGACTGCTTTAAAAACACTGTTCTAACAAGGCTGATAATTCTCCATTTTTATACCCGAAGGCCAAACTTGAGAGTGATGAAAACAGAGAAACTGAGTACATCCTTAATCAAGGAAACATTTGTAGTCTCCATAATTTGAATGAACTGACAGTTAAATTCAACAAGCGGCAGACTTGACCTCCCAGTTCCCTGAAATCTAGCCCGATCCTGGGCCGGCCACAATCTATAAGCAATATTTTAATGTCTCACTTTTAATTTGGGGGTCACATTGCTGTTGGACGGCGATCCCCGTGGAGGGCCTGTGGGAGAGAGAGGGGGAGAGACATGTTCATCCTGCCAAGGCCTTTCAATGAACCGTATAAATAACGGGATGTGTGGTGGGGGTTGGGGCACCTTTGTCGGATTCAGAGGGAGTCATGGCAAGGATCCCAAAGCATCATCGTCAGACCAGCTCCAACATCTCCGGTCAGTCAGTCACCATGGACCCATTTGAGGTCACCTCCCCTAACCTAACCCCCCCACCCTCCTGAAGAACTGACCCAACCGGAGCCTTTGGAACCGCGCCATGGTGCGCTTCCAAGGAGCATGGGGGGGCGCGACTAGCGTGCAAACCGGAGGTCTGTGGTTAGGCCCCGCCATCCCTGCCCGGCCCAGCACACCCGCTCTGGGGGTTGGGGTCAGAGGCCCGTCCACGGACTGGCTCCTCCAGGCTCTCATTCGCTAAAAAAACATCACGGCTGTCTTGTGACCGGACAACTTGCCTCCGTAGCCTGCAGCTGCTACCATGAACAAAACAATATCGTGTGGCATTACCTGAATACTAGACTAGTGACATATCGGACATTCTGTGGTATAGAGGTGTCCTGTATTGGGAGATTACCAAGCTGCGTCTGAGTGGCACAGATGTGGAGGCTTTAAGAATTTACCAGCATAACTGGAAGTAGGCAGCAACACACACAGCAGATGCGTTAAATCACTTGCGTTACATGAAGTACCGGGTGCTGCAGGGACTCCATAGAGCTGCGCCTCCCTCTCCCTCTGGATCTGCTCCTTGATCAGCCTTTGTTCCTCCTGTAGTTGCCGGGACCCCTCCTCTCGCAGCCGGGTGATCTGGGATATGGGGGAGGGACATGTTTAATACAGTAAGGCCCCATGAGCGACTGCAGGAAACCACACATCATCACTGCAGGCCTCAGAAAAGCACCGACTACGTGAATAGAGGATGTGGTCGGAAGATCTGCCAGAGCAACGGCACCCTAAAGAGCAGCCTGAGGCTGATCCACTGGGCAAGGACTTCTCAAACCTCCGGCAGCACAGGAGGAACAGAACACTGCCTCCTAGTGGTCATGCCGAATCAACCGTGACACAACCATCCCCATGCCTTATGTAGTAGAGGGGTTAAAGCCAGGGGCGTCAAACTGCAGTCCTGGGGGGCCGGAGCCCCTGCACATTTTTGGGTTTCTCCTGATTTAACACACCTGATTCAACTACTTGCACCTCCTTGTGCTAATTACCACGCAGCTCCGGAGCTGAATCATTTGTGGGTTAACAGGGAAAGAACTAAGCTACCCAGGGCTCCACCCCTCCAAAGACTGGAGCTTGACACCACTGGGATAAGCCATGGCTGGGTTCCTCTATCATGAGGACAGTCTACTGATGTCAATGGAAAGTCCATCCTCCAATCACACAATACATGTTATGGGATTGGTCAATCATGCACCCTCTGGTCACGTGACCTTTGCCTGCAATGTCCACCATAAAAATGACACTATACATAAAGCTCAGACTCTATATAGTGCTATAGAGCCTTATGTAGCCCTACACAGACTCTATATAGCCCTCTGTGAAGAGCTAACAGCTAAAGGAGGCATCTGGGATTGGGTGGCCAGAGACAGGCACTTACCTCCTCTTCCAGCGTGCGTGCGACTTTGATCTCCTCCACACTGTGAGCCTCGGCCTCTCTCTCACGCGCCTCTAAGTCTGGTTGGGGGGGGGGTGTATATACAATACAGTAAGAGCAGACCTTGAGCCACACTCAAAACTCCATCCATTCTAAACACTTTCACACTGTAAATCAGTTGAAAACGCTATGGTACCAGATCTGTGGAAAGTGGCCAGACCGGACCACAGCCCGGTAACGGTGGGAAGCACTTGGACAGCGCCGGCGTAAGCGTTTTACTGGTCCCTCTAAAGACCCCGTGACACAGAGTGCAGTCAACGGTGACACATTATAAGCCACCCACGATGGCCGTTAATCGCAGGGCGTGGGCCCAGCTGGTCACAGGGATTCGCTGTGGGAAAAGGCAGGAAATCTGCGAGCGTTTCGACAGCCTGTGCTGAGCCGCGCCTGTCCGCTGTCATGGTAACTATGGGCGCCCTCAACACCGGCCAAACTAAGCTCATTCCCTGTGAGGTCTACATAATCCTCACCTAGCTTGATCTTCTTCCTCTTATCGTCGAGTCTCCGCGTCCTCTCCTCGGCCTGCTTCTTCGCCTTTCGAACTTTGTCATACGCGGCCTGCCGGAGACAGAGGATTCTGGAGGTGGATTCACGTCTGTGGGTCCGGCTCACGGCGACACGGGGAGCATGATGCCCCCTGCTGGAGGCCACAGACTTACCCTGGCTGCCGCGTCCGTCAAAACCTCAAGAGCCTGGGACAGCTGGTGGAAGAGCTCAGCTGAGAAGACCGAAACAAAGACGGAGAACATGGCCAGCTCAAAGATCTGCCTCTTATCTAACCATAGAAAACAGAGGAACTTCAAACAAACCTGTTCTTCATTTACAGACTACTTTATTGTTAATACCTGAAGAGGCAGCTAAAACAAAGCAAACTGACTTTACTGACCAGAAAGGACCTTAAGGCTTCTGCTAAACCAAATAAATAACATGATATGTCACAGGGGCTTCCAAGCGATTCCAGTTAAGAGTTGCTGAATCTGATTCGGGGTGTATTTCATAAAAAAACAAAGGATGACAGCAGACTGTTCACTAAGTGTGACATGGCATGCTGCCTTTATGAAGATGGAACACTGGGAAAATACTGCAGGGGGAAGTCGAACAAGTCCGCTTCATGACAGCCGTTGTTGGAGTGTCTAAGGCAGTCCGTTTCCCACTCCAAACCATGCATGCCATGTCGCCCTAGGCCCCGCTGGGAAGCAGAGAGGCCACTGTCACAATTGCTGGCACGTGGAAGTGCATGCCTGCCACCTGCCTTGAATGGCATTGCCCGTTTCCTAACGCCTGCCCCTCAGCATCCTGCGGAACGCAAACCGCAGCCTGAGCAAATCCAGGGCAAACGAAGTGCACAGGTGGGATTCAGGGGAGAATATCCTGCACCCCCTGGGGAAATGGTCCAAATGTCTGTCTGCATCCCGCCCGGGCCGACCGATGCATGCGGACCCCCGCCTAACCCCTACCCCGAGTCCCCTGTTGTGAGCGCCTCTTCGTGCGACGCATGAAGCACGGGCGAAACCAAAATAATTTTGGACCGCATCAGAATGCAGAATGGGCTTTTCTCCCGCTCTGGAGCCGACATTGTTCTCTTTCATTTCTGGGAAACTGACCCATTTTATTTTGCTCAGTTCTGCCATTTACCCCCTTGTTCCCCTTCTATACTCAAATCAGGAATTGTCAAAGACATCCAGTAACCACAAAAAAAAAAACTGAAAAAACCTTGCATGAAAACAGGCTGGTGTTTTTTTGTTTTTTCCTCCAAGGTACAATATTTTTTTAAAATACATTTTTTTTTAAATGTATTTTAAATTTCCAGGACTGCTTCACCAGCCCCCCCCCCCCCCCCAACCTTCTGGAAGACAGGAGACCAGAACAACACAAGCTGTGTTGTTGCAGCACCGACCCACATCCCAGTCTCCTTCGGGGGCCAAAGATGCAGCTCGCTGCCCCGGGGGCCTCTGTGACCTGGGGCCCATTAAGGGACCACACCTCCAAGGAGGACGCCCAGAAGGACACCATGTCGGGTCTCAGACACCGACTGGACAATGGCTGCATTCAGTGGGGAGGTTCATAGAAGGACACACGGCAAAGGCGCTTAGCCGCTTCTCCGCTGCGGACGCGCGAGAGGCAACCAGCCGCTCCACTTACCCGCTTTGGGGTTGTCAGGATTCTTGTCCGGGTGACAGGTCAGAGCTCTCTGTCTGTACGCCTTCTTGACCTGGAGAGCAAAAAATACATAAATAATCTGCAAGGAATCATGACCGACAGTCATGAAAACAGGCTTATATCCGGCTGGGCTGAGCGATTACGAATGTCAACTGGGGTTTAATGCATGCATAGCTGACATTTCCCGAAACACAAGGCAGAGTTGCCAAAGGCTGATAAACCCAAGGAAACTCAATATCGTGTCTCCACCACCGCTGCGTGTCCAATCTAATAGACTGAAGGCCTCACACTTTCTCCACAAATAAGTTTAACCTGCATTACTGTGACTGTGGGGCACCAGCGACTTCTGTATTTCCACTTTATTCTAAGCCACTGTCCTTCCAATAATGCATCCTCTGACTCGAATAATGCATCCCTAGACGTCCACAATTCCATCTGAGGGAATAGTAAACAATAATTACAGAAAATAAATTTTACAACAAAATTTATGACTATGAGAACAACACGGAACGCAAAAAGCTTGAAAATGAAAAACAGGAAATGTACAATTTGCTGGATGGCCGTGGGCATGACATACCGGCATGAACTCCAGGCTAAGGACAGAAAAGTGAAGCTGCAAGCTGACTTTCAGGCTCATAAAGCTGCCGAGCTGAAGACGTCAGCTAGACACTGCACCCCGTCTAACTGCTGCTCTTCTTTGCTAGCCGTTAGCCTTGGGGCCCTGGGGCACCACCTTCGTCTAGCTGTTGCCTTGCTATCGGCTCCACTTGGTTGGGGTCAAATAATGTCTACACATTTTAGTAGGCCTGCTCCTCCGATTACACCGCACAGGCAAAAAATACAGCTGAACACCACTTAAAAACATGGGTAACAAGGCGCTACTATAAACCAGCACTTTAGTTGGGTGATTTTCTCTATGCAGAGACATGCAGAATGACGAAGGTCTACCTCATATCATTACTGACACCCAACTCTGGTCAACCCAACTCTGGTCAACCCTGACATACCTTCAATAAATGAACGGCCCCTAACTGGTTCCCATCACACAATTATTTTCGAATGGACAGAGGCAAAGACACGTCAAACTTCTTTAAACCTCCCCCCCCCACCCCCAAGCTGAAAACTGCTCTTTAAAACAGGCAGGAAAATAGGTACATTTTCAAAGCCGGTTCCAAGTAGGAATCAATCAAAGTGCGAGCTATCGGACATAAATCACATGCTTTGTTTGTGCATCTGGAATTTTCACATTGAAAGGAACGCTCTCGAAAAAATACTGGGCCGCCGTTGCTAAGGGTCGAGGCCAACATGGCTCAGAAGAGATGCACGTTCAGTCTCATGCTACTCTGGGGTTGTGTGTGATGAAAGAATGAAAATAAATGATGAATCAAATGGTAAATCCTTTATTTGCCATTTGCACGAGTGCAGGTACAATAGAATTCCTCTCTTTGTCTACCCCATCTTGCTCTCCCTAGCTTGGGGGCGGGGGGGCTGGGGGTCACAGCACAGGGTTAGCTAATGTGTAGGACCCCTGGAGGTGGGGGTTAAGGGCCTTATTCAAGGGCCCACAAACATGTGACTGTTCTGCTGAGGCTGGGGCTTGAACAGGCGATTTTCCGATCACGGGGGTAGAGACTTAGCCTGCTGAACCAATGTGCCCCAGCGCCCCAGATACATGCTCTTCAGGGTGGCAGTTGGATGCTTCCTGGCCATAAACAGCCACTAACCCCATGGGAACCTGGCTGTTCCAGCATCTGCTCTTCAGTTTTGTTTCTCTCTTCCCGCAACTATCCCCGACAGGCCCCAAAAGAAAAAGTGAACGCGTTTCTTATTAGGCGAAACCACACAAAACACACATTAAAACATCTGAGCTGCTATCATAGCTCACCTGGGCAAGCGTTCACCCAAAGCGACCGCCGGAAGAAAAAAAGCTGCACTAATGAAACGTGATGTCATGTGTCTGTCTGACCCGGAGGTGACCCTCAATCTATGCCCATCCACTGAGATTCTACCTCACCGAGGGAAGGCTGGATGAGAACCAGGTCGATAGCTATCACTCTCTGCCCCCTTACCCCAGGGCGTGTGAAACGCACGGGAAAGGAGGTATAAAACTGCAGGAAAGCACACATAACTATTTATTTGCGGTAGAGAGTTCTGCCATGCTGCTAAAGTAACAGGCCAGGAACTCAGCATGCTGGTAAGGGGCCGGACATGAGACCTGGAAACGAGGTCCTTAGCGGGACAGGCACGCAGGCCCCACCGAGGGAGGAACAGGCACGCAGGCCCCACCGAGGGAGGAACAGGCACGCAGGCCCCACCGAGGGAGGA